AAAAAAATATATAGGATAAAATAAAGGTAATTGTCAAATTGTACAACTTACATTCTGAAAAACATTGGAAACTAGGAACAAACATTTTCAATGAAGTTTTTTGCAATTTGGATCGTCACTTTAGTTGATTTTACTGTATTAATTTCTGTTTTATCTTTGGTAATGAGTTAAATTTATTTTTATGTTATTTAATTTCTTGTACATTTATATTTCATCAATTTACTTTTACAGTTCTTTATTATTCTTGTAAGTTATCTTAAATGTTTTAGATTATATTAAATATAGAGATTGAATGCGAATAATCTACTTGGATAATGAACTTTGAGTAAAATTGGAAAAACTCACCTATTATTTCAGTAATTCAGTGTGTAAATTGTATTAATTATATTAAACAACGAATTATTTACGTTATAAACATAATTACAACAAAATGAATGAAGATAATTTTTTGTAAAACTTAACATAGGTGTTTGTTTGGTTCTATGTATTCTCAAGTAATAATAAATTAAAGTACTATCTTTTTTCGTTATTTTTAATGTAAGTTAAAATATTATTTCATAAAAAAAATCAAAAATTGATCCATTATTATATGGTGGAAAAGATAAACATTGATAAGTTTTATCATGATTTAAGTTGTTATAGAACATAAAATCACTAAACTCCCTCTCCAAAGTTTATTTTAAGATATATAAAAATATTTATTGTAAGGATTTATATATATATATATATATATATATATATATATATATATATATTTTACAATAAATTTTATTTAATATTCTATGTTTGATCCTTTATTTAGTTAAACTAAACACATAGTAGTATATGATAGTAGTGATATAAATAAAATTTAAGTTTTTTTGAAAATTAAATTATTAATCAAAATCAAAATCCATTAGTAATATGTGTACTAAAAAATAAATATTAAAGCCTATATTTTATTATTACTAATTTAAACTAATTAATTTAAATATAAAGTTAGGGTTAGAATGGGATGGGGGAAAATTGTATTATCCATTCTTGTTTTATCTCTAACTTTTAAAATAGAGAAAATCGATTATTACCTATTGTTGTCAAATTCGAGATAGATAAGGATAGATCCCCTAAACCATCAAACATTAAAAGTATATATTGTATTTTTTTTAAAATAAAAAAAGGTGATTTTGTTTAATAATATTGTGAAAATATAGATAAATTAACATTAATAACTCATTTTAATAATAAAAGAAAAAGTAATTTAGTTCAAAATAATATTTGCTATTGAATTTATAATAATGCCAAATCCATTTTAATAAGTGAAATAATTATATCAATAAATAATTTTTTATATAATAGAATAGATTACAGAGTTTTTAAGACTTAATTTAATTTTATTTATACTATTTTAAAAATTGATATTTAACTGATCTAATAAAAAAATTTAAAAATCGATTTTTTATTTTTAAATAATTAAATTTTAATTAAACTGGGATAAAAGTTAAGTTTTTAATCAAAACAATTTTGATAAAAATATTAAGATTATTTTTTTAATATAATTTTTTTATAAAAAATATAATATATTTTAATTTTTTTATCTCATAGTAGTTACATTAATTTTAAATAATAATTATTTTATTATATTTTTATTTTAATTTAATAATTATTTATGTTATACTTTTAATATATTATATATTTATAATTTTTATTATAACTTATAATAACAATAACAATAATTTTTATTAATTTTCTTTTTTTTATTCAAATATTATTATTAATAAATTTATTATATTATGCAAATATTAAACGTTAAAGTTTTAAATTTTGAAGCATTTGTTTCAATGGTAGTCATTGGTTACTTAAACTCCACGTCTTAGTTATAAATATTCTAATAAATAAATTATTGAGGTGATTTTTTTAAAGCGTATATAGGCTATTGATATGTGGTTAAAAGAATATTGAGTTGGACTTGTTTATTGAATATATGTTTTTCATAATACAGAGTATAAATATGCATTAAAGAGAGTACTTGTTGATGAATATAAATCTCTATATTTACTTAGATAGCAAAATGATTTAATTTTTTTATATAAAATATGTAAATATATTATAATATTATAATTTAAATTATAAAAATTAATCAATTAAATTCAAATTATTAATTATAATAAATTATTTTAACACATAAATGTAATAATTTTTAATAAAATTATTAATTAATAAATAAAAAATAAATAATTATTTATATAATTAAATATATATTAAAAAAAAAGATTTACAAATTTTTATATTAAAAAAACTATTAGTAGACTGACTAGCTCGTTAACTCGTTAGAATCTGTAACCGTTTTATTACGATAACTCATCCCATTTTTTAACTAACTAAAAACATGATAAATCAAAACCCATTTTACCATATGCATCAATACCCTATATTCTTTATAAAGAATATATATCTATTTTCTAACTCTTTATTTATTAACTAATATTAAAGAAATTAATACCTATCAAATTATTCCATTACAATCACGAAATTAATACATAACTACTAGTTAAACAGTACATTTGTGTCATTCAAACTACACGGTTGAAAACATATAATATAAATTATAATTTTTTTTAATATCTAAAAAATGCTAACAAATAGGGAGGCTAAAAATTATCAGTTCATCTACCAGATTCAATCCTTCAATCCAATCATCTGTGTATAGTAGTAGTTTTTTTTTAACGGTAGAAAAATGTTTAAATTATTCAAAGAGTAATGATCACATTCCTTATTACCTTTTTTATTAAAAAAATGAAAACAAAGACCAATAAAACTTCTATAATTTATATTCAAGGTTTATTGAATCATCTAAATTTTGAATTATCATGAGGATGAGATGAGAGCATTCTAAACTTAATCATTCATTATAAATTTGTTTTTGTTATGATTAGGGATAGAAATTCACTACCCTTGTAACAAGATAATCAAGCCCGTCAGTTTTTTCTTTAATCAAGTTACTTTATCAATTTATATTTCCGAGCTTCTTAAATTCTTTCATTTTTTCCCTTAAAATTTTCGCTAAATAAAGCTTTACATACAATTTTTAGTCTATCAATTTAATATAATCGTCTTAATAGTCCTTAAAAAATTATAGAAAAATCAATCCTGAAAAAACAATAAGTTTTTAAAACCTTTAAAATAAATAAAATGTTTATAAAACCAAACATGAATTTAAAATTTAATTAAAATCAAATCAAATTTAATAAAATAATATTTTTATAATCTAATAAATACATAATAAAATAATATTTTTAGAATATAATAAATTCATTACTAATAATATTGTTAAAAAATTATTACTATAATCATCATAAATTATAATAAAAATTATAAATATTAAACATATTAAAATATATAAAAATACAGTAAAATAACTATTATTTAAAGTTTACATAATTAATAATGTAAAAAATAAAAATAAAATATTATATCTTTTATAAAAAATTATATTAACAAACTTTAATCTTTAAATTTCTTTATTAAAATAGATTCAACCAAAATACCTAACTAGTTTTCCCAATTGATTTTGTCCCAACTTAATTCAAATTCAGCTCATTGAACATGTGATACCATTTTCTAAATCGATTAGCGGTTAAACTGGTTAAACCAACTTATCTGATTTTCAAACCAGTGAATAAATATGTAAAAATTAATGATTAAAAAAAAAATCCTTTGATATCTATATTGTTACTTAGATGACAAGTGAAAAATATATCATCAACTTTCATATATTACTAATGCACTCAATGGAAACTAAGATATAAAATTTGTCCTATTAAATTCATATCCGTAAAAGTTATAAAACTTAACCAATATTCGAGCCAAAACGTGTATAAACATAATAAAACCACATCAAGCATGAGTTTCACAAGTAGCTAGAAATCTAAAAATTCTAATATGGTCTTTTTGGATTGTTCATAAAACTCGTTTTTCAAGATATATTCACTTGTATAAACAAATATATATGGTATAGTTTTCACAAAAGTAAATATAACTTAACAGGTTTCCCATCTCAAATCAGTAAAAAATAATCAAAATCGTGCACGGGAATTAAAAACAATTTCACAAGGACAATATGAAGTCAAATTTGAGAGTTAAAGGACTAGTATGAATATGTTAAAAGACAAGAGACAAAAAGAAAATTAGTAAAAATATGAAGGACCAAAAATAAATTTTAACTAAATTTAACACGTAGCAAAACCATTGCATTAAAAGATCGATTTACAAACACATCTGACTAAGACATTTTCTTCCATTATTCTATTCTATCAGAATTTAAATATTTGTAGTCACAAGAAATCACAAATTATGCAACTCAATATATTTTTTTAAAGTAACAAATTATGTGCTGAGAGAATGAGTGGCAATTTAAATAGTCAAACATCAACTCTGCTTCTTAACATTGCACGTAATAAGGTACACCTAAATTTTCCAAGTATATTAAAATCTGTGTCAATACCTGATGGAAGGCACAATAAAATCAGGTGAGGAAAATCTACTACAGCATCACAATTAAGTTCCAGACGGAACAGACCAGCCAAAGCAAGTGTTAGCGAAGTTTGTTTTCCTGTTTCTGTATCCATCTCATCTGACAGAGGTATAAAACAAAGAATGGACAAACACAGAAACGGTGATTACATAAAATATGTTGTTATCCCCGTAAAATTTCTAAAATTCAGTTTTAGTTTCTCTAAATTTTTTGTCCGTTGTTTATCTCTCTAATTTTGAAATACACCTTTTTTTCTTCCAAATGCTTTCTAAACTACTTTTTGTCATTTCACGAGCCGTTATTTAAATAATTGGAGAAGCAAAATTGGTGCATTTTAAAACTGGAGAAACTAAAAACAAAAAAAAAAAAATTAAGAACTAAAATTAAACTTCAAAAATTTTAGAGAGACCGAATATATATTTGACCCCTTCAGAGCATGCATACCAACTACCAAAAAAATGGGAAAAAAAAAATCCTATTCAATGTGTGGTTATTTCAAAATGCCGCTTCGGGTGCGCTCTCTCAAATCACTAGGTATAATAAATACAGAATCTAAACAAAGCCCACCTTTAGAGTGTGTGCAATCAATCTGTTTCATGGAGAATCTTACTTTAGTTGTAGGTTCTGATCCACTGACAATAAACTCACCAACCTTGTAATCTACCCAATGTCCACGCTTTTGATTGCCGTGTGCGTCATCAGGTGCAGCTTCATCCAAGCAGCACTCAAATGATGCTTGCTGACCATCCATGGTTGACAACTCAAATTTCACTGGTTTTATATCCCAACCATGGGTGTGTTCATAACTGCGCACGCGTCGCCCAAGCCTCTTAGAAAATCGTCCAAGGTGAAGTCTAAAGGAGAGAGTATAAACATCAGCAGGAAATGGGAAGCTGACCTCCCCATCCACTTCAAACCACCATATTTGCTGTAAATATGCTACAGTTTTGAACCTGAAATAAATAAATGACAGAAGTTTAATGCAATACTCAGAAAAATGAGCTGACTGAATAATCAGAGCTTCAGCATCAGGATTAAGTGAGCTACAATTTCCAGAAAGAAGCAAAATAAGCAGAATGTTGCAATATTTTAACCATTTGAGTATGGAAGTACATTGAGAATTACACGTCCAACTAATTTTGAGTATGGAAGTACATTGAAAGTTAAAAACATCATTCCGAGACAGAAATAATTAACACTCGTCTCCTCAAAAAAATTAATGAGTTATATTTTATATTTTAATGAAAACAAGCCTTTAAAGAGCAGTTCCCCCCCCCTCTCTATATGACTCTGCATAATTGACAGGCAGCTTTGAATATTTTACAATAACTTTGGCACCTTAGGCAGATATGGTATTAAAAAAAAAATAGTAACAAACACACAGAGGACCAATTAGTAGTTTCGTGAAATTCTTGAAAATTTGTACATATTTAAATTCAAAATTGAACAAACAGCACCCAAAAATTTTGCAATCCAGTTACTAATAAGGTTTGCAACTTCTCAGAGATGTTCTGGATAGCAAAGGCCACAGAGCATATGGAATGTTAAAAACAATACAAAATGCATAAGCTTATATTTGAATCTAATGGAATGACAACACAGAATATTCTCCTATTTCTTCCGGTGCAAAATCATAATTCATAAACTAGAGAATGATCAGGCAGGACACAGACAATGAAAAGCAAAATGTTTACAGTTCCACTTTCTCAAAAAGACAAGCATGAGTCATGAAGCAATCAAAGCATATAAGAAAAACCAATCCAAAAACAATGAAACAGTAACAGATTGATCATGTACACAAATTAAAACTTGATGTTAGATTAACAGAATTTGGATAGTTTGATTTTAGATTGAAAATTCACGGCACATATAACAAACAGGTAGTTTGGAAGTTAAAGTATCAATCCATTGAGTACGGCATTCAGACATAAGCCTTTCAAGACTTCATCCATGAAAGCTCCAGCAGAACAAGTACGATGTATAATGATGTCACTTCAACATATAAGAGCAGGCTTGTGCAATTCAAGTAGGACATATATATATATACACACACACACACACACACACACATAGAGAGAGAGAGAGAGAGAACTGTGAGAACAAGCAATTGATATTGAGGCTCTAGACTATATAAAAGAAGTAACTTCCATGTGAACTAGACTAAAAATTCAGAGAGCCAACACAAGATTTTCTAATAGCATCCTAGTAATTCACAGATTCCTGGGTAAGATTTTCACCAATAAATTCCAGGCCTTAGAGACTGATATTTCATTGTTATATTTTGCATGAATTATTAAGTGTGATGATATCTTAGCCTCATTGATGATCATCTACGTTCCTAGTCAATACACTAAGATATGATGTTAAGATATTCACTTGATTGGAAGAAAAACCACATCTTGGAAAGCCGAGAAAGGTTGATAGATATATACATCCACACTCGTTATTTTAGGACACTGGAAAGTACTTATCCTTCAAATTAATCAAAGGGGGCATTTCCCAAAGAAATTGCTGAAAACGTTACTTTGAATTGAAAACCCATCAATACAACTTTGTAAGAAAAATAACATGATCTATGAATCTGTATGCTGCTGACGACTTCCATACAAACTGATGCTATACAAAATCACGGACTTTCCATTCTTTTACTCAAAGCAAAGGTAAGTTACTGATACTTCCTCTATACCTTTAACCACAAATTGCAAAAGCATACATAGTTGATCTAAGGATCGATATAAAAGGTAAACATGTCTTAACACCCTCTACCACCAAATTACCCCTCCACCAAATAAGGTTGGAAAAACAAAATAATAATCTTATCATTGTTTTTTGTAAATCAGAACATGTTTTGACTTACAACTTGAGTTAGCATTCTCAACAAGGCCACCTGCAACATGCACTTGATGATTGATAGTGGCATGTAAAAATATTACAACATCAAAACAAACACAACTTTTCTATCAGAGAAATGAATTTGTATTACTGGAAGCAAGAAAAAATAATCTAAAAGCATTCTGTGGACATGTGCAGCACTCAGCACCCTTGATTCCCTTAACCATTACATTGTGGTTGGTTGTTGGGTAGCAGTTAGTTAATACAGGTTAGTTAGTGAACTAGTTATAGTTAGTCAGGGGTTGCCTATAAATAAGAGGAATTGATAGGAAAAGGAGTTCTCTTTGGGTTGGGGGAAGTCTTTGGGAGAGGACCAGGTCTCTCGAAGTGTGACACCCTTTTCCATCAATAAAGAACATTTTCGTCTACTGTCTGATCCAGTTTCTATCACCTTTCAATCCTTCTGTTTTTGTCAGAACCCAGTCCAGCAACTAACCATGCACTCGCTTAAACATTTTCGCTTCTAATACAGCCCATTACTAAGGCCTCACACAAGTATACTAACCACATACAATAATCCAGAGAAGCCTTCCATCTAGCTACATGCTCAGTAGAAGCATATATAGCACGGGATTTTGAAAAATCCAACCTCAAATATCAGCAAAAGCATTATTTTTCTGAAGTTGCCCTGAGTTTTTTTTTTTTTTTTGCACGTCATTTCAAGAACAAAGATAAACAGAGTCGTAAAACAAGGTCACACAACTAACCTAACCCTACATCACCACACCTTACAACAAAACATAATTAAAAAAAAAAAGTTTCTGAGAACCAAACCTAGATTCTTCAGTAGGAACCCAAGTCCAGTATCTGCGGTCATCAATTCCAGTAATAGACATCGCCTTCGCCGAAATCGACATGCAAACCCTTCCCGTGACCCTGTCCAGCCACACTTCCTGCAAAACCATAATCCGTCAACTATGCTCACACAACCAATCACGCAACTCGGAGACAATGTAGCACATCACGCCTCACCTTGTTGCCGTCGTCGAACGGCACTGGCCGAGATAGCAGCGCGAAGATGTCCTTCTTGGAGAGATTCCGGTACCTCTCGGGAGGCATCAAATCGAGCAGATCTCGGTAGTTGGTAGGCAGCTTGGTTTGCCAGACGGAATCGGCGGAGGCGGCGCCGCGAAAGGAGCGATTGAGGCGAGCGAGGTTGCATATCTCCGGCGGAGTGAGGTGGAGGAAAACGCGAGCGACGCAACTCTCCGGGATGTCGCCGAGGCCCGGAGCGGCGGCCGAACCGTTGGTTCCTAGGTTCGACAGCGAGGCCCCCATCCCCTCCCGAGTCACCCGTTCTTTCCTTTCATTCAGACCTCGCAGACGAACGAAACGAAGGAAGGACGGAAGAGGGAATGGAAAAGTGAATGCGGAACGACGAGATTTCTATTTTTATTTCGGTCGTGAGGGGAATTTTACGGGAAAGTGAACACGGGTTCGGATTTGATAGAATGTTTAGTTCCCTTCGAGTGCAGATGATCCAGTGTGAGAGGATGCACCTCCATCGATGGTCTCACTGCTTTTAGCTATTTTCCCTTCGTTTTTTTTTTTTTTTTTTTCTTTAAATTATCCATTTTTCTTTAATATCACCTGCAGTTTCCATGTTTCTTCCATATATTCATTTTTTTTTCATTTTTTAACCGGTACAACCACAATTATTTACTTTAAATCATTCTTGTAAATAATATATTTAAAATAAATTACATAAATAAAATATTTTTATTTATTCGATTAAATTTATTTATTATTTATATAAATATCTCTAATACAATCCTTTTTTTTCCTTTTTTTTATTTTGCTCTCTTACTATTTTTTTCTTATTGTTATATTTTTTTTCTGTCTTTAGTGTTTATTTTTTTCTCTTTTATTTTTTCTTCTATTTTATCTTATTTTTTAATTAAAAATATTAAATTTAAATTTGATAAGATAAATATTTTATCATTTCAAAAAAAATTATAATTTAATATATTATATTTAAAAATATATTATATAATAAATTTAAGATATTATTATTATGTTATAATTATTAAAAAAATTCAATATTTATTTTAAAAAATTTAATGTAATCAATTATCATAACTCAATTCAATTATAACTAAATTAAATTAGTAAGTAAAAAATATATTTAATTTGTAAATATTTAATATTTTTAATTATAAAAATAATCTTTTATTTTTAAACTAATTTTATATTACTTATTTATGTCGTTCATCATAATTTTAAATAATTTTTTTAATTTAAAATATTTTAGTTATATATATATATATATATATATATATATATATATATATATATCATTAAATTTGAATCAGGGTAATATTTTGCAAATAAGTTGAAAGCTAATTCTCAATTTACAATATTAAAAGATTAGATAATGGATCTACTCATTTATACATTATTTAAATTTTTATTTATTTAATATTAAATTTTAACTTATATTTAAATTTTTAACTATTTGTCCTTAATTGTAATTTCCTTCACATATGTATCGCTTAAGACAAACATTGTTTAATCACTCGTACGTAATAATAACCTTATTTATATCATCATTTAATCTAACGAAACTTCTTTATAAAATCCTTTTAACGTAAGAATCCATAATTCAGCGTATAATACTTATATCAATTATACTAATTCAGTCCTAATCATCAACTTTAATATTATTACGGTGAGTATTTTCGAAAAAGAATAAATACTAAAAAAGTTCTCATAAATAAAATATAAGATAACCATATATATATATATATATATATGAGAGATCCCTTTCATTCTTTAATCCAAAATTTAGGTTATGAGGTAAAGTTTCCTGATTTACAAAGTGAGATTTCAAGTTACATTGACGTGGTACTCATGACCTCGAAACCAGAATACTTTGTCCCACACTTCCTCTTATAATAATTACTTGCTGTAATGGAGCATATTACTTGAGTTATTTCTTCCTTCTTTTAAATTTAGATGGCTGCATGAACTTCAAAGGTGTGATTTTTTTATGATCATATGTAAATAAAAAATTGTCAATTGGTTTTACAAAAAATACTTGATAAACTAAGAACATGAATTACAAAACCAGCGGCACCGTGTGGTGGTGTGTAGTGGCGGCGTTATTCGACCACGAATCTTCAAGAAAAGCGGTAAAAAAAGAGAGTTGAAAACAGAAGGCAAGAGAGAGAGAGAGAGAGGGTATAGATATACATATTTTTATGGTTGAGAAAATAGAAGATATACTAATATTAAGCCTTTTGTTCACTAGTAAAGTTGTATATTACTTTTTAAAGTTGCATTAGTAACAATTTTTAATCTTTATATCTTCAAAAGTTCTGTTAACTTTATAAAATATATTTACTTTCACATTTTTCTTTTATGAAATGATGTTAAACTCTTGAACTAATTTGTAAAATTGTATAACAAAGACATGAAAATTTGAAATTATCTGTTAGCTTCTAACTTAAAACAATGTAGATTTAATAAAAAAAATTGATTTTTACAATCTCTGAGTGTTACACGTATCCTAATATTGTACAATTTTGATTTTTTAAATTATTTATCAAATACTAAATAATTATGTTGTCATGAAAATATAGATTGATTTATTTCGTTTCATTTTTTGTCTCTTTTATTTTACGGAAACAAAAAATTGTAATGAAATAAAAAATGTAATTACATCAGTAGGTATAAATGTATAAAGTAATAATAAGTTCATTACTTATAAATTTTGCCAATCAAGTTTGTTTATAAAATCCTTGTTTGCAATTACTATATATATATATATATATATATATATATATATATATATATAATTCTTTTTTTTGAGATTTCATTTAACAATGAGAATAAAGAGACCATAATTGAAAAACTAGTAACTTATTATTTATGACAAATTAATATTAAAGGAAACTATATACAAAATTGGTACAATGGAAATGTATATTTTTCTTAATTTCTACAGACAAAATTAGTGATTATTTATTTTTTCGATTAATTTTTTTAATTTGAATTATACTTAGTGGAAAAAAATATATGTAAATATAATAGATTATATTTTTTTAACAAATATAATAAATTATATAATGTATAAGAAAAACGAAAAAAGGAGAATGCATGTTTATTCATTTTTATTATTTTTTAAGTTACTAAATAAAAAAATTAACAAAAGAATTTAAATAATTATTATATCACCTAAAATTTCTTTAGTAAAAAATGATTTCAAATAATTAATACTTCACGTATTAGACATGCTTTGTAAAACAGTCATGTTTTTTTTTCTTTCATCTCTGAATAGACTAAGAACCAGAATCACGTATGCAGAATCTAGTGTCGTGGTTGAAACGACAGTTTAAGTGGACGTGGAGCATCCCATTTGGCACAAAACCTGTGGGTTATGTTTTCCAAAGCACAAACAAAACCATGGGCAGTTTTCTGTCAGTGCTATAACATAATCAGCTGCTCCACCCTTTGTATTTTATTTCTATTATAATTACTATTACTATTACTATATGCTACATGCTATATGCTATATATCCATCCTTCTCTTTCTTCCTATACCACCATCTCAACCCCTTTGCTTTTTCCTCTCCACCACTGACTTCTGCATAGTCTTTCAAACAGCTGAGGAATAATAACATGCACGAGATGCCAAGTGAGTTGGTAAGGTGAATGTGTCATGATGTTAATTACACTACGTCCATCTAACTATTTCTCAAAACCTGAGTCCTTTAGTCGATTGCTTTTCAACCCTTTTGATTTTTGAAGTGTTTTTACTCCAATCTCATTTTAAATTTCCACAAATATTTAGTGGAATTGGTGCTTTTGTTAGATTCGAATATTGGTGAAGTGGTCTTGAGGTTGATGGAACCCAATGCACTAGGTTGTGGTATATTTCCTAACATAGGTAGTGGTTTGCTAGGAGTAGAAAACCTTCAAAACCAGCAAAACCCTCCTCACCCTTTGCACCACCCCCAAATGGTTTCCTATGCCTCTCAACATGACACTGACACACATCAACAACACCCACCACAATCAATCAAACACGGCTACAACTATTCAGCCACGAAAACCAACAAGTTACAAATCACACTCAGTGATGAAGATGAGCCCGGGTTCACAGCAGAAGACTCTGGCGACCCCAAGAGAAAATTGTCACCATGGCATAGAATGAAGTGGACTGACACCATGGTAAGGCTCTTAATAATGGCTGTTTATTACATTGGAGATGAGGCTGGTTCAGAAGGCTCTGATCCCACTAAGAAGAAAGCCACGGGGTTGCTGCAAAAGAAAGGGAAATGGAAATCAGTGTCAAGGGGCATGATGGAAAAGGGGTACTATGTGTCTCCCCAACAGTGTGAAGACAAGTTCAATGACTTGAACAAGAGGTACAAGAGGGTCAACGACATTCTAGGCAAGGGCACAGCTTGTCGGGTGGTGGAGAACCAAAGCTTGTTGGACACCATGGATATGCCTCAAAAGATGAAGGAGGAAGTTCGAAAACTGCTCAACTCCAAGCACTTGTTCTTCAGAGAAATGTGTGCTTACCACAACAGTTGTGGGCACAACAACAACTGTGGCACTTCCAACGGGCAACAATCAACTGAGGCTCAACCACAACATCAACAACAGCAGCAGTGTTTGCATTCATCAGAGAACGGGGTGGGGAGTTTGACAATGTTGAAAGAGGATGAGGATGAGGATATTGAGGACGAGGATTCGGAGGATTTTTCTGATGAGGAGGAAGAGGAATCTGGAGAAGGAGCATCAAGGGGTATGGAGGAGGATGAGAATGACGCAATGAGGAAGAGAGCAAGGAAAGGAGCGTTTGGTGTGTTGTCATCATCACCATCATCATATCAGGTGATGATGCAGCAATTGAATGTCGAAGTGAGTGGTGTGCTGCAAGATTTTGGGAAGAGTGCATGGGAGAAAAAGCAGTGGATGAAGAAGAGGGCAGTGCAGTTGGAGGAGCAGCAGGTGAGTTATCAAATGCAGGCATTTGAGTTGGAAAAGCAACGGTTGAAGTGGGCAAGGTTTAGCAGCAAGAAGGAGAGGGAAATGGAGAGAGATAAGCTTCAAAATGAACGGAGGAGGCTGGAAATAGAGAGAATGGTCTTGCTACTACGCCAGAAGGAGCTTGAATTGATTACTATTCAGAAGCAGCAGCAACAGCAACATTCTTCTACATAGGATAGAAGAGATTGCTGTGTAAATTTTATGTATGGTAGTTGAAATTATAAGAGCATATGTACACTAGGCGATTGTTCATTTTCATGGGTGATCATTCCAAGCAAGTTCGATACATGTATGCTTGCTTGCTGTTTGTAGACAGTTTTTAGCGTTATTGTTTTCCTGTTTTAAATAAATATGGTCAAGTTTCCACTCACATGTAATTCTTGCTTAGACTTTTATAAGAAGGAGTTGTTAATAAGGAGAAAGCAAAGTGTTGTTGAGGAAGAGGGTGAAGTGTAAAATGGAAAAAATAATCTTATAAGATAATAATTAAACATTAACACGCCCAGTGGGACTCGAACCCACAATCGCCTGATTAGAAGTCAGGCGCCTTATCCATTAGGCCACAGGCGCTTATATGTATCTTGTACATATTATTTTAAATTTATTATAAATAAAATGTTTTATAAGATAATTAAATTATGGTAATAATCAATTATACTTAGATATAATTTTTTGTTTGGATATAAATTACATATTTTGAAATTCATAAAGATTAAAATTTTGTGTGTTTACAAACAATTTTTTAATCAAAATGCAACTAAAATTTTAAAATTTCATATTCCCTTGTAAAGCTAAATGATAGTCATAACTACTTGCAGTAAATGTGTTGAAGAGTTAAGAGTATAAATATTGTGATTGTTTCTAATGATATTATGCAGATGGAAGAAGGAATAACTTTTCTGTTTGTTTTTAGTAAATATGATGGATTTGAGAAAGGAAGTAGATAAATCTTCAAATCACTTCAATTAAAGCATTTTTTTAATCATTCAAATCAATTAAATAACTCACAGATTTTTCTTTTATTTCATTACATTTCTTATGTTTTTTACTTAATTCAAACAACTTCGCTCTCACCTCTTTTTCTCACATTCTTTCTTTTCAACTCTGTCAGATTCATCCTTTTCAACCCCGTCAGATTCATCGTCAGAAACAAAGTGTATATGTATGTTACTTATCACTTGAAAGTCCTGCAAGGGATGATGAATAATAAATATGAAAGAGGATAACGAATCATCTCGCGCTTAATCTTGGTAGCATCACATTGAACCTTCATTCGGCTCAAGAAATATTTATGGGTTTCTATTTCTATCTTTTTTCAAAAAATTAGTTTAATGACGATTTTAGAAACAAAAAGACTTTAAGACCATACATTGATTCAACAATACGACAGTGTTTAAGTTGTTTCTCTGGTTCACCCACTATGAAATATCCCAGTAGCGCATGCATTGGTTGGATAGTAATAGAATCTGATTAATTTATTCTTCAGAATCACAAGCATTGTTTTCTTGGGGGGAAGTAGAACTAGTATAAGTCCGATATGTATTCCATCGTGTTTTTGATAAACCTTGGGATGAGCGATGCCTTTGCTTGTCCAAAAGTTGTTACTTCTTAAACATAAACAAGTCAACTGCAGTAACTCAGATCAATATAAAAGGGTATAATAGGGTCGATCACGAATTGTTTGGTCCGTACGTGTTTCAAACCATAGCATTTCACTGTTGTTCGTGATTAGATTTGAGTCATACTGCTGATACAGTATAACGACTGCACTTCCTTTCAAATTGTCCATGTGTAAAACTTTAACCAAAAAATTGGCATCAGGGCATATTCCCTCTGATTTTTAACTAATAATAACTAGTCTAACATTCAGTTTCAATCACAAAATATAACTAGTCACCCAATCCGGTGGAGTAAAGATAACCTCAAAACGTAGAAGCTGAATGATCTGCTCCTGCCAAAAACTTGTAGACCCAAAAACAAAATCCTAAACTGTAGTTAAGATCAATGCATCACTTAATCTTCAAGCTCGATAATCTTAACCACAGATGAATCACCAACTTTCTGGCAAACGACTACACGATCGTGCGACTTTATAACTCCTGCTGCTTTTCCATGATCAAGGGCAACCTTCAGAATAGACTCGTTTGAGGCACTAGTTGACTCGGCCTGCAGGCAGAGTATTAGATCAAAGTCTAGTAAGTCTCCGATCATTAAGTGATGGGGTCATTGTAAAGCAGCGTGCATACAAGTCACGCAGAACGTAGCTCACGTTTCAACACCGTAGCCAAGAAGGTGACTACTACAGAAAAATATAAAACTTTTTCTACATCTACCTAAAGGTAATACAAGGACTGAAGGAGCCATGATGAATTGAAGCTGAACAGATAAACAGTACCCAACCCCTATAGTCTAGCTTCTTTTAAACATGATCAAAATTCCGCAGACAGCTCCTTCCCCACACGAACAACCCATAATAGTGATGCAGATAAGTTGTGAAACAATGACTTACAGGATGTCGAGGATCGGCAAGTATGGGAAAGAGGCCCCTTACAATAAGTGACTGCCTAGCCTGTTCCAGCAAATTGAATTGTAATTTGGTACCAAAGATATTTCAATATGACACAATAAATCCTGGTAAATACAAGTTTCTAATCATTAGACAGGACAAATGTGTCCAAATCCAGGCAGTATAGCATCATCTTCCTAACTCAACACGATTCATGGCTGTATTTCCTTTACACAGGATACAATTACAGCTGAGAAAACTAGAGAGTAAAATTAAAATAGTATTATAAACGACATGTAAAAAAATGTCTAGTACATAAAAAATCGAGAACATTTGACTGTAAAACAAGATTGAAAAATATATAGTAGAGAGTAGTATATTAATTACATTAATTGTAAATAAGCTTTCCCACATATGAGTTGGCAGTTGGTCCTGGAAACGGACAGGAATAAACTGTTCTTAGCAAAGCAAAGTACAAATGAAACGATTTATTTAAAAGCTACAATTTAATTAGAACTATTCATGTATGTATAGGGGGGTCAACTAATGCCTGGTGAATCTTTTGATTTGAGAACGTATCGTCACTCAATAGTTTCTTACAGAAAAATATTTGGATCAACAACACATTAATTATATAACTAATTTTATGCGGTTCTTGCACGTATAAATTCAGAAAAGTTAAACAAAAATAGTTTTGTTATCTAATTCTTGAAAATCATAATATATAATTTTAATACATCTCAAAAGAGTAAAATTGATTTTGGATTAAAGTGGGATTATAAGAACACGATACAGTCTACCTTAACAAAAATTGTTATTCATTAACCATTGGCGTGACGGTGGTTTTTAACTTCAATAAATCCTTAAAATAAAGCAATAGAGTTTTTACCAAAACTATACCTAAAATCATATCAACAATACTGAATCCAAACTGTCAACAGGACAAGGGGGATGTCCGTCCGATCCATGGACACCTAACAGAGAATAAGGTACAAATGACACAAAAGATCTAACCTCAAAAGCTCCGCTAAAGCTCCATTTCAGCTGATTTGTCTTGAGTCGGGGGATCACAACAGAGAGAACAGGCATGGTTGGCCTATATTTTGCTATCAATCTAAAAAGTACATGAAACCCTATTAGAAAAGCCTCACAGACACACGTGGAAATGCAGGGAAGAAAATTTGAATTGGACATTATTTGATTCATAACATTCATTTTCCAAGGATTGAATCCAATATAGAAGTTAGATGGTTTATCTCTCCAAGATATTATATGAACATTCACGACAAATTATTCACCGAGACAGTACCTTGCAGCCCTTCCAGATGAAGTGAAGCAAATAATAACAGAAGCCTTCACCTTAATAGCTGCTCGTACCTAAAAAGTATGATTTGCATATAAGTTTCAAACATGAAATAAAACCAAGAACTAAGACAAGAAGCAAAATCCAACACACAAACTATATGTTTTCGACATAGACAGGCAAACTATAGAAAGAAAAAACTAAAAACTCGCCCATAGCACTAGGCTACCTCTAATATGGGATCAGGGAGGGTCAGATGCATGCAGCCTTACTCTGTGAGCAGAAGCTGATATTGCGACCAAAAGCCATGACCACCATGTCATGGGACAGTAACCTTATTGTTGTACCATGTCTCACCATTTCATTCACTAGGAACCACCATAAAATAAATAAGAGGAAAGCTTGAAATGTAATTACCGCAGAGGACGCTATAGATTCCAAGTGGGACATGGGTTCTCCAACATATTTGACAGTTTTCTTAAAATAAACGTCTTGATTAAAAACTTTCTCAGCCTGAAAGAGAAGGTGGAGATGTCAGCCAGCATTTTGAGTGACATTTCAAATAAGAACTCTCCCAACAAAAGATCCACATTCACATAACTTATGCGACACCATCATCCCAAGATATTCTTTAAAAGCCACCTCAAGATAGAATGTGAAAATGCTAGAAAGGACTAGGCATTCAGAAAAAGAAAATTCGTGAGAACAACATAGTTTCCATCATTTCTTAAAATTTTTTATCTAAATGAAGTAAAATAATATATGTTGGAAAACTAATAATTATTATGATCCTGATTTTGATTCTAAATGAAGTAAAATAGTATCTTCATTTCTTTAGATGAAACTTTGGAGATAAAAATAGTACACAAAATTAAAAAGAAATTGATATTCAGATAAAGAAAAGTGATGAGAATATCATAGTTGCCAGAATTTCATACTCTTGAAGATTTTACCAAAAATATATCGTACAATTCACATTAGAAAAAGAAATGAACATATTAAAATATTACATGCAACAAATGGATGAACATGGAAAGATAAAAAGAAACGAATTATCTGGTTCATCTCAGGTCATTCAGACTATAGTATCTTCATCTGGTTACATGAACTCCAGAACACAAAATTTAAATTGTTATAAATAATAGTATCTTAAGCCATAAAGCATGCACACATGTGAAAAATGGTAATAAAAGCAATAAATTCCAGGTCCAGCAAGAGAGGATTCTCGTACTTCAGAGAGTAAAGTAACTACTATACAACCAAAACGACCAAATGCATTTTTTAGTTAAATAATTAAGTGATATTTGATAATAGCAATGATAAGTCAAAATACAGCAGTTCTGTCTGAATGTCTTCAACAAAATCAGAATTTCTTGAATGAGTGAAGTTTCAGAAATGCTCCACAATATACAAAATTAACATAATAGAACAGATTTTAAGTTATCAAGTGAATTAAAGAGCAATGAAGTGCACATACTTCAGCACAAATTTTGCCAACTGTAGAAATAGTCTCAACAGGGTATAACCCACGCAACGTCTCAGCACCTAGAAGTATTGCATCACTTCCTGTATATTTATTATTATCAGTTCAACAAATATCCAATAAATGATTCTAACAAAAACATGCAGAAATAACACTTCAAAAAATCAATGTGAAGGATCAAAATCAGGAAAAATAATCAAGGGATAAATATTTATTGAAGGCTGTTGGGTTCTCGCACAAGCACAACACTACTAGAGCATTTATCATATTTCTAGGTCCTATAGTTGGTTGAATTTCACTAGTTTACAATATCTAGAATATTAAAATGTAATCAGTTAAATCACCAGTTTCTACCGTACAATATTCTAGACCCATTATACCTTCAATATCTACTAGAAATCACTAGTTATGGGGATTGAATAGATTTGGTTATGACTATTTTAATATGAAATTTTTAAGGTATATATAAATCTAAACTTAACGAGATGAGTAGTCACCACCCTAACTAGTGGCATTATGTCACAGGTGACTTACCATCTAAGACGGCATTGGCAACATCAGTGGCTTCTGCACGAGTTGGTCTTAAGTTGTCAGTCATGCTATCCACAACACGTGTAAGCACAGCAGGTTTCCCAGCCATATTACACTTGTAAAGGGCAGATTTTTGAAAGAAAAATACCTACAGAAGCAAATAGTAGTTGATTAACACCTCTGCAATGGTCAGTCTATATGATTAGGCATTCACTTCACGGAGACAATTATGATTGACATTAAGGGACATTGAAATTAAGTATCAGTTCATTACACTGACTCAGATCAAACATCCCATTCCACTCCAAAAGATATATTCCATCGCTCTGCAAAAGTCTCATTTCTTTCTTTGCTCTAAGTTTATGGTTTTAACAGCAAACCCCCACTTACTCAATGGTTTTTGGCGCATTAATTACACTTGTAAACAGATGAAGACTCAATATATATCCACTAGCTAAAACTTTGTTGAACCAGCCAAGTACCAACCCCCATCCATCAAAAGAAAAGTGGGCCAGATGATCAAGGCAAGTAAAAATGATTCAAGCATTTAAATAAAAAATTCTTTTCAAAAAAGACCAGGAACAAAAAGTAGAAATTGGAAATATTTTGTACAATATGAGCTCTTACTTAAAAATGCAAAAGCATCTACTTATTTCAGTTCATTATCAATACAAATCTATAATGTTTGAAGTATTAAATACATTCTCCTCATGTTCAAAGTCACAGCAAGACATACACAAGGAAAGCCCCTCAATCTACAAATAAGATTCATTACAAAAAAAATAAAAAAAAATCTAACCTTCTCCGGGGGAAGATCAATCCCCAAATTCCCACGGGAAAGGATGATACCATCTGCTTCTTGTAGAATTTCATCAAAATGGGTCAGTCCCTAGAAAAAAAATACAGGTGTGCATATGCAGTTGAATCAGGACACTGACAGGAATTTAATTTACATAGAAACCAAAATGTCCAGTAAATTATTAAAAAATGCAGTTCACCTCAACATTTTCAATCTTTGCAAATATATGAGTCTGGCTTAGATCACCTAACTTAGAAAGGAATTCACGGGCCTGCATTTCAAGCACGTAAGAGTCTGTTAATAGAAAATCTGAAACAGCTCTAGAAAAATAAATTAAATGACCAATTATGAACTCCAAAAAAATAAACACAGTAAAGAATGCGAAACACAAATTACCTGGCGAACATCTTCAGCATGCCTAGTATATGACAATGACAGAAAATCAATTTTGTTTTTTACTCCCCAGGTGCTTATAACCTGCAAGGAAATGTAATAGCCCAAAACTTAAAAAACAATAACCTATATCTAGGAACATGCAGACTAAACATATTTGAAGATAAGTGACTCATTCAAACATGCAAGTTATGATGCATGGATACGATAAGACTATAATATATGATTCGTATCCCGTATGTTTATAAAAAAAAAAAAAACAATACGTATAAGATACATATTTAAAAATGTAAAAAAATTAATGAAATATAATAACTATAAAGCTACAATAATGCAAATCCAAATTTCAAATCACATTTCTTAGATATTGCGGAAATAAAAAATATAAATAATTATCATTATAAATATTATCAGTTATTTACATGTAGGAATAACACTATCATTCTCGTTAATTTCCTAAAATATTTCATAACAACAATTTTTTTTCTTTACTTCATGAAAAATAATATTTATATGTTTCTATTTTATAGATACATATACGTTTCTAAAACTTTTATTGAAATAAATGATTTAAAAGTTTTGACATTTAATTAACATACAGGTAAACTATCCAAAAGTATTATTTATAAAACAAATAAAAGTATTTATGCTTCATAGATCTGGATACTTCATTGATACGTATCATTAAAGTATCGGTGAAGTATCCATCCATACAATACGTATAAGATACATGAAGCAAATTGAAGTGAAGTGTCGGTGCTTTATAGCATGCAAGTAAAAAGGTAGAATTTACCTCCTTGTCTTTATCAGTGAGGGTGGGCAAATCAATATGAACTTGTGAGGCATGCAAAGTGAACAATGACCCTGCTAATGTTGCCGAATTCTTTATAGTACAAATAACGTCCTGACCTGTAACCTCAGACACCTGCATACTCAACATTCAGGTAGGACTTAGTTATTCCTACTTATGTCAGCTATGCCATTATGATTAGATTTTGAAAATATCAACAAAATTTTTAACTTCAATTACATGAAGGAAATCACAATATAGACTCAAACAAATGTTTAATACAGGTTAAAAAAATTGAAGGACACAACAACAAAAAAAAAAATAAAAAGGGGCTTATTAGAATAAATTTAGCCTTCTGTACCCAACTCGTACCTCTAGCCATACAGAAGTAGTTTCACTTCCCGTGAACAAGTATTGACCAACAAAAATTGTGTCTCCCTTCTTCATTGACTGCAAACAATCCAAACAAGATTAGGTTAAACCAAATTAAGCATTGCATTGGAAAAATTAAAATGAGTTCACATAATATATGTGTTGTCTTAATCATGTGGCGATGCGAGTAGCATTTACAATATGAGCAAGGGCCTCCAAATAAAAATCATGCAAATGCAATTTACTACTTATAGTTCTCACACCATAAGCAATAGAAAAATCTCGAAGCCATGGCAGGAAGGTGCAATAGACTCCAAAACAAGTACCATCACATGCAACTAAGAATAAAAATGACTAAATGAAACCACTCAGGTTAATATTCCTAAAGAAAATATGTACATGAAAACTAAGTCTTGAAATCCTAACTCAAGCTGACAATCAACTTGTAAGATGGGAGTTTTTTCCACTTATATGCATTATTTTGGCCTTGTCGCTAGCCATGTAGAACTAAACCACCACCCTTGAGACAACAAGTAGGACATCCTCAAATAGCCCACAATTAAGGGGGCTAGGGGTGATCACAACTAAGACAGTTTCCAATAGTAAGTCAGTCACATAATATCACCACAAGGCTTAAAAGTTTAATTAACCTTGGCCAGTCCATCAAAATTGATAGGCAGTATTTGTGAAGATGCTTCTTGTCCCCGGTCAGGGGTCAGAACAACCTGACCATCAGCCTCAAGCGAGATCGATTTCTCACTTTTGTTAACAACCTGCATCTCTGCTCCCACAGTGTCTAACATAACCTGGCAAAGACAACAATAGAGTAACCAACCAACACTCAACTCCTTTTCCATTACATACACAAATTCAGCAAGAAACCCAAACAACAACAACGCATGCATGCATAAATTGAGGAGACAAAAATAGACATTCCCCATGCACTCAGCAAAACCTTAATCCCAACAAAACGGACAACAAACATATAAAACACAAGGGGTTCGTTGGTAACTTCAAACCTAAGCAATCAAATTTTTGAGAATGTTTTGAACCAAAACGATATTAAGTAAAAAAAATAAATAAATAAATAAATAAAACTCACAGAACAGAGTTTCTTAGTAGATTTGATAGCAGATTTCAAATTCTCCAAAGTCTCTTGGTGATATTCAGGATCACCCCAAGAGAAGTCGAAACGAGCCACTACAGCAGAAAGTTAGAAAGATCAACCAACAACAAATAAGCGTTTAACAACGATGGAGAATTAGAAAAGGAGAGGAATACTAGAATAACAACGAAACAAAAGGAAGATACGTATATACCTGACATTCCAGCTTTGAGGCACGCAGAAATAACCTCCACCGATCGAGATTTGGGACCCAGTGTACCAACGATCTTCGTCATTGCGGGAAAGAAACTCTGGAAATGCAAAATAAAAAAAAAAAAAAAATATATATATATATATATATATATATATATATATATATATATATAGAAATAAAATAAATGAATAGAACGTTGAAGAACTAAAATAATATGAATAAGAAGTTACTAACGGCCTTGGATGGTTCGAGAATAGAAACCATGCGAATGGGTTCCTCGAGAAGTAAGTGACCGGAATGCATCTTCGCTTCTTTTCCACGCACACACAGAGACAGGGAAAGAAGAAGAAGATGTTGTATGGGCGCAAAGAGTTTCTAAGAATATGCTTGCACTCTCTCTTATAGTGCTCTTTATACTACTTCTTTAGTTTTAGCCCTTTCCACGCAGGGAAATTGTTTGTCCTTAGTCCAAGGAAGAAAAGGTTCAGACGTCATGACCTTTAGTAAAACAAATTTCCATGTAAAACAAAGAAAAATGATATTTTTACTTTCATATTTTTATTTTAAATCCTAAAATTTTTAGATCCCACTTTATTTAATAATTTGATTACAACAAAATAATAAAAATATTTTATAACAAAGGCATTATTAATATTACATTATCATAATTGAATTATTAAGTGGATATATTTTATGAAAGAGTTTTTCAATAAGAATGTGGAATTTTCCTGGAAGACTTTTTGGTATAACATTTTGGCATATGAATAAAAGGTTTGATTTGAACATGGCAGAGAGTGACAGGAACTATGAAGCCTGGGAAGAAACGAAAAGGTTAGCTGAGCAGCACATGGTTTTTAAGTTAGGTGTGCGTTACAGCGGTAATTTTATCATTTAATTATACCATTTTTTTTAATTGTTTAAAGGAGTTATATGAATTTGGATTTTCAAAATATTATTCTCCATTTCTTTATAAATATTCTGTATTTACTTTCAAATGTTTATTTATTAAATAATATAAATTCAATTAAGCGTTAAATTTATCTAAGAAATACAGTGTGCTTAATATTGTTGCTAAAAAAATCGTAATTCGGACAAAAGTGTGATCTTGTGTTAGATTTTTTTCTTAGAAATATAGGATGAAAATCTTATAAAATGGACCTTTTTAGTTTTATTTAAGGGGTTTTGATTTAATTGTATAAAAAATTTGAAGGCTTAGCTTTGTGTATTGGCACCTGGAATTGCATGGCATGGCCCATCTAATTTGTTAGTTTAAGGTCAAATTCTGTGGGTAGTGGTTACTGCTCCTCAATTTACTTTTACTCCGTTCAACGCATAATTATTGTGATACCAGTGCCCTGTGAAGCAAGACCTGAAAAACATATTTCAAACTAGCATAAAAAAACAGAGAACAATGTCAAACCTAAAATTAATCTAATAAAATTTTAATTTCTCACTTATCTATTATCCTGTTCGGTCCTTTATATATATAAAAAAAGAAAACTCGTAAAATGAAAATTAAGACAATATTTTCTACAAATTATATTTTGAAGACATGTTCCAAGTATCAAATATTACACTGTTCTAAATTATTTTTATAATTAATTAATTTGTTTAGAATTTTTTTTAACTCGTGTACTTCCTATTTGAAGAGATATATATATTCCATTTAAAAAAATTCAGAGATTCAGGATTTTGTAATTTTAATAAAATTTAGTTAAAAAATTATTAGAAATGTATTGTTAATGTAGCCTTATAAATATTTTTAACGCAGTCTTAAAAATTGTAAAGATACGTGAGATAAAAGAATTGGTTAGTTATGTATATTTTTCATAATATTTATACAATTTTAAGCAAATAAAAAAAAATCACATGGAACTTTTTTACGCCTTATTATACTAAAAACGGTTTGCCAGAAACTTCCAGAAAACTTGATAAGACCTTGCCCAACCTATTTTCTGCCGAATATTGATTTTGTGTCTTTAGGAATGCTAGGGAAAAGAAATTAATATATATATATATATATATATATATATATATATATATATATATATATATATATGTGTGTGTGTGTAAATATTTAATCAATAAATCATCCGTTGAACCAATTGATATATATCAAATTCAGACTGAACTATAATAAATATACAATTTTTTTATTATAGATATACTCTAAAAGCCCTGTAAGTTGCTTTACAGGCACTGCAGTTTAGTTTAGGAGAATAATGTTGGTTGTTTGAAAAGTAAAAAAAAAAAAAAAAAACAAACAAAGATGCCAAGTGATTGGGTGGGAAGTGATTCGCTGACAAATAATAATTGGAGATAAGAAAAAAAAGGGAAAAGTATTAAATGCACAAGAACCATTCCTTTTATTATAAAATGTTTTTCATTTCACTCATTTCTATCATTCAATTTTAAAAACAATCATTACAAGAGTTAGTTAGCAAGAAACAGAAAGAAAATAATCTAGTTTTTTGGTGTAATTGGGTTGAGGGTTGCGAGTGTTTTGAGAGTGCTTTGTAAACACATGTGTATTTTCTTTTCTCCCAGTAAAATATCTGCAGTAGTTCGGAGACGTAGACAATTTTGGCCGAACTCTGTTATCAATTGGTGTGTCCAATTATTCCGTCTTTATTTCGTTTTTATTTCACTTTCACATATCTGACTACATGGAAAAGTTTTGTGTATTTTTCTTAACAACTGGTATCAGAGCTGGTTGTTAACTCTGCAATTTTTGTGATGATACTATTCATATGAATAGTGAATTTACTATTCCTTGAATTGTAAAAATGTGAATAGTAAAAATTTTGTCGGTGTTACAAAATTATCTACAGACGTGTTCCGAAACACAGTAGTTCACAAAAATTGTCAGAAATGATCCAGAAAAGTCAGATCCGAGTTGGAGTGATGACTGCAGATGAAGGAAAGGTGAAAATCGAAAAGTTCGATGGTGGGAACTTTGGGTTCTGGAAGATGCAGATCGAGGATTATCTGTATCAAAAGGATATGTATGAACCACTCACAGGAAAGAAACCAAAGGATATGAAAGAGGAAGAATGGACTCTTCTCGACAGAAAGGCCCTTGGAGTCATTCGACTGACGTTATCCCGTAATGTTGCTTTTAACATTGCAAAAGAAAAGACGACAACAGGTCTTATGGATACTCTTTCCAGTATGTACGAGAAACCATTAACCTCAAACAAAGTTCATTTAATGAGGTGGTTGTTCAATCTATGGATGTCTGAAGGTACTTCAACAGTGCAACATATCAATGAACTCAATACTGTTACAACTCAGTTGAGTTCAGTTGGGATCGAGTTCGATGATGAAGTACAAACTTTGATACTTTTGTCTTCTCTACCAGAAAGTTATAATGCTACTGTCACAGCTGTGAGTAGCTCATCGGGAAGCAATAAGTTAAAATTTGATGATATTCGTAATTTGGTTCTCAGTGAAGAGATCCGGCGGAGGGAGTAGGGTGAATCATCAACCTCTTCAGTATTGCATACAGAGTCAAGAGGAAGAAGTTCAACCAAAGAAAGCGGACGCGGAAAATCAAAGGACAAACGATCCAAGTCCAGAAATCATTGTAGCTCCCAAAACTCGAAGCAAATCGAGTGTTGGAATTGTGGGAAGACCGGACATTACAAAAATCAGTGCAAGAATGCACGAAAGAATCAAGAAGCGAAGGACGAGGCAAACGTTGTCTCTACCTCAGGGAAAGATGATGTGTTGATATGCTCTTTAGAAAGCAAGGAGGAGTCTTGGGTGTTAGACTCTGGAGCAACTGTTCAAGAATTATGTTCCCGGAAATCTTGGTAAAGTTTACCTTGGTAATGAGTAATCGTGTGAGATTGTAGGAAAATGTACAATAAAGATTAAGTTGAACGGGTCTGTATGGGAATTGAAAAATGTCAGACATATTCCTGACCTAACGAAGAACTTAATCTCAATGAGTCAGTTAGCCAGTAAAGGTTACACAACAATCTTCCACGGTGATGATTGGAAGATCTCAAAGGGTGCGATGACAATTGCTCGAGGCAAAAAAAGTGGTACTCTTTACAAGACTACAGGAGCATGCCATTTGATTGCAGTTGCAGCAAATGAAAATCTCAATCTATGGCACTAAAGACTTGGGCATATGAGTGAGAAAGGGATGAAGATCATGCACTCAAAAGGAAAACTACCAGGTCTTCAGTCAGTAGAAATTGACATGTGTGAAGATTACATACTTGGAAAGCAGAAGAGAGTTAGAAGAATTCCAAAGAAAGAGAGACTTGAGCTTGTCCACTCTGATGTTTGGGGTCCAACGACTGTCTCATCTGTTGGTGGGAAGCAATACTTCGTGACGTTTATCGATGATCACTCCAGAAAGGTATGGGTTTACTTTCTGAAACACAAGTCAGAAGTATTTGAAGCTTTCAAGATTTGGAAAGCTATGGTAGAAAATGAAACAGGATTGAAGATTAAGAAGCTCAGATCCGACAATGGTGGTGAATATGTAGACACCAGATTCAAGAAGTTTTGTTATAAGCACAGAATCAGAATTGAGAGGACCGTGCCTGGTACGCCTCAACACAATGGTGTAGCTGAGCGTATGAATCGAACGTTGACTGAAAGAGCCAGAAGCTTGCGTGTACAGTCAGGCTTACCAAAGCAGTTCTGGGCAGAAGCAGTCAACACAGCAGCTTACTTGATCAACCGAAGTCCATCGATACCATTGGAGCACGAAATACCAGAAGAGGTATGGAGCGAAAAAGAGGTAAAACTCTCATATCTTAGAGTTTTCGGTTGTGTAGCATATGTCCATATCAGTGATCAAGGTAGAAACAAACTTGACCCAAAATCAAATAAGTGCACTTTCATTGGTTATGGTGAAGATGAGTATGGCTACCGCATATGGGATGATGAAAACAAAAAGATGATCCGCAGCAGAGATGTAATCTTCAATGAAAGAGTGTTGTACAAGGACATGCATAAAACAGATATTAGCAATTCAGAATCGAGTGGACCAGTTTTTGCAGAAGTGGAAGATGTCTTAGAAAATCCTATAGTGAGGAGTCCTCAGTCAGAGGAAACAATTGAAGAAGGTGATGTGCAACCAGAACCTCTTACTCCAATTCCTGTATTGAGAATGTCCTTTAGACCTCATGTGCCAAACAGGAGATACATGGACTACATGTTGCTGACTGATGGAAGGGAGCCCAAAGATTATATAGAAGTTTGTCAAACCACAGATGTTAGCAAGTGGGAGCTTGCCATGAAAGAAGAGATGAAGTCTCTGATCTCCAATCAGACATGGGAACTAGTTAAGTTACCCATGGGGAAGAAAGCACTTCACAACAAATCGGTGTATCGGGTGAAGGAAGACCATGACGATTCCAAGAGATACAAAGTCCGACTAGTTGTCAAAGGATTTCAGCAGAAAGAAGGAGTTGACTACACTGAAATCTTTGCTCCAGTCGTAAAGCTCAATACTATCAGAACAGTGTTAAGTATTGTGGCTAGTGAAGAGCTCTACCTAGAGCAATTAGATGTGAAGACTGCATTTCTCCATAGAGACTTAGATGAGGAGATCTACATGCACCAACCTGAAGGATTTTCAGAAGAAAAGAAGGATATGGTGTGCAAATTGAAGAATAGTTTGTACGGTCTGAAACTAGCTCCAAGACAGTGGTACAGGAAGTTTGAAAGCTTCATGCACAAGGAAGATTTCCATAAGTGTTATGCCGATCACTGTTGTTTCTTCAAGAGGTATAAGTCCAGCTATGTTATATTACTACTTTATGTTGATGATATGTTAGTAGCAGGTTCAAATATGAGGGATATCATAAATTTAATGATGCAGTTGTCAAAGGAATTTGACATGAAGGACTTAGGACCAACAAAGAAGATTCTTGGAATGCAAATCACAAGAGATAAGCAAAAAGGAGTTTTGCAGTTATCTCAAGAGGAGTACATCAACCATGTGTTTGCAAAGATTTAACATGGACAAGGTCAAACTAGTCAATACACCTTTGGCAAGTCATTTTCGTCTATCCAAGGATCAGTCTCCTCAAACAAAGGAAGAAGAAGAAATTATGGCTAAGGTTTTGTATGCTTCAACCATTGGAAGTTTGATGTACGCAATGGTTTGTACAATGCCAGACATTGGCCATGCAGTGGGAGTTGTGAGCAGGTTTATGGCAAATCCAAGAAAGGCTCACTGGGAAGTTGTCAAGTGGATTCTAAGATATCTACGAGGAATAACAAAAAAATGTCTGTGTTTTAGAAAAGGAAATCTAAGATTACAGGGCTATGTAGATTCAGACTTTGGAGGTGAAGTTGATCACCGAAGAAGCACCATCGGTTATGTTTCACGGTTGGTACTACAGCTGTTAGTTGGATGTCACGGATACAAAAAATTATTGCTTTATCCACTATAGAGGCTGAACTTGTAGCAGTGACAGAAGCCAGTAAAGAATTGATATGGCTTCAAGGACTGTTAGCAGAGCTAGGATTTACTCAAGAAGGGAGTGTTTTGCATAGTGATAGTCAGAGTACAATACATCTGGCAAAGAATTTAACATTTCATTCCAGAACCAAACACATTGATATTCGTTATCATTTCATCATATCTCTACTTAAGGATGAGGTGTTAACATTGAAGAAGATTGTAGAAAGCAAGAACCCAGCAGATATGCTAACGAAGGTGGTGACCATTGACAAACTGCAGTTGTGCTCAACTTCAGTTGGCTTGTAAGAGTAGCAGACCAGAGAAGACTAATGCATTAATCAAGGTGTGAGGACAGATTGAAATCAGTCCTCAAGTGGGAGATTGTTGGTGTTTGAAAAGTAAAAAAAAAAAATGGCAAGTGGTTGGTTGACAAGTGGTTGGAGACAAAAAAAAAATGAAAAGTTTTAAATGCACAAGAACCATTCCTTTTGTTATAAAATGTTCTTTCACTTCACTCATTTCTATCATCCAATTCCAAAAACAACAATTACAAAAGTTAGCCAGCAAGAAGCAGAAAAAAAAAATTCTAACTTCTGAGAGTGCTTTCTAAATATCTGTGTATTTTTTTTTCCAATAAAATATCTGCAATAGTTCGAAGACATAAACAATTTTGGGCAAACTTCATTATCAATTATTATATTCAATTATTCCATGTTTTATTTTATTTTTATTTCACTTTCATGTATCTTACTACATTCATTACTTTCATGTATATGACTAGATGAAAAAGTTATGTGTATTTTTCGTAAGAAATAAGTATACACAAACGAGGGGATAGATTAATTTAAGAGGATCAAGAACAGCAATTAACAGTATTTGACAAAAACTCAAAATTTGACAAATAAAAGAAGAAGAAACTAACACAACAGAAAGACATTGGAACTAAAAATGACATGCTTGACACAGTAATAAGTTAGTGCACCAACAAACAATTATTAAGCAAGGCCATCTTCAGTGGTGGGAAGCGAAGGCGAAAGCGAAGTGCGTGACCGTGCCTCGTCATAATCCTCTCCAAGAGGAGACTGTTCCACCCTCAGATCCTCAACCATCTTCACAACCTCCAACATACTCGGCCTCTTCTCCGGTTGCATCGCCACGCACGCCATTCCCACGTGCAACATCGCCACCAACTCCTCCTCGATGTTCTTGTACCTCAACAGCTCCTCGTCGAACACCTCCGCGGTCCACTCCTCCTTCACCACAGACCGGACCCACTTCGGAAGATCCACCTCACCTTCATCCTGCACGCGCGGACGAGCCGCGGAACCAGGGTACTGCGTCGACGGTGCCCTCCCCGTCAGCACCTCCAACACCAGCACGCCGAAAGCGTACACGTCAGCCTCCTGCGACAGCCTCTTCACTTCAACCTGTTCTGGCGCTCTGTATCCCCCTAACCGCGCGATCGCGTGAACGGGGTTCAACAGCAGCGATAACCCGAAGTCTGAGATCAAAGCGACGCCGTTTTTGTCGAGAAGCACGTTGGAGGATTTCACGTTCCCGTGAGGTATCTTGGACGCGTTGTACTCTGCATGAATCCTAGCCAACCCTCTAGCCGCACCTAACACCAAGCTTATCCTCGTTGTCCAATCCAATGGAATCCTTCCAGGTCCACGGTTACCTATCATTAACATCAAAACGTTAAAAATCAACTAACCCTAATGTCATAAAGCACAGTATATTAGAGGAATATTAACCATGAAGAAGAGCATGCAAGCTTCCATTGGGGAGATAATCATACACAAGAAGCTTTTCTTCCTTGGCATAGTAATAAGCTCGGAGTCTAACTAAGTTGGGGTGTTTGAGCTTCCCTACAACGTCCATGTACTGTTCAAACTCGTTTCTCTCGCATGGGTTTGCGTCTTTGAGTCTCTTCACTGCGACGGTGCAGCCATCGTCGAGCACCGCTCTGTAAACCGTTCCCAAGCATCCTTTCCCCAGCATCTCCGCCGAAGCTCGAAGCAGATCCTCCAACTCAAATTGGTTCCTTCTATCGAAAAACACGAGCTTGCTTCGCTCCGTCTCAGTGTTCGTCCCATCGCTATCTCTATCGAAGTTCCCGCCATTCCCATACACCTTCTTCTCGCTCCCAGAACTACTCCCGCTCTTCCTCTTCCCACTCTCGCTTCCCACCGCCGACCCAGAGCCTTCCCCTCCCCTTGCGCAGCAGTGCGCCACCACGAACGACATCGCTACCAGCACCGCCACGCAAGCCGCCACCACAATCGCCACGATGACACCTGCACCCAGCCCTTTCTTCTTTGGAGAGTCAGAGAGAGTTACACTGCTTGTTTGAGGGAACGAGCTCGGTTTTGAAGGAACGGTTATTGTTGTCTCGGTGTCTGGTTCAGTTTTCGAACATTTGGGTAGCGGGGTGGACCCACATAGATCGTGGTTTCCGGAGAAGCTGGCATTGCCGAATTTGGTGAGCATGGAATCGGGGACGTGGCCGCGGAGTTCGTTGTTGGTGACGTTGAGTTGGGTGAGGTTGAGGAGGGAAGCGGAAAGGTCGGGGACGTGGCCGGAGAGGGCATTGTTCTGTAACCGAAGAGTTAGGAGGTGGGTTAGTTTGGCGAGTTGGTTGGGAATTGGGCCGCGGATATTGTTGTCGGAGATGTCAAGGCGGAGGAGGAGGCGGAGGGAGGATATCTGCGGCGGAATCTCGCCGGAGAAGTCGTTGCGGGAGAGGTAAAGGAGTTCGAGGGCGGTGCAGTTTAAGAGAGGAGAAACGGTGCCGTTTAAGCGGTTTTCGTGGAGGTCGAGGAAGCGGAGGTAGACGAGTAAGGAGAGAGAATCAATTGGGCCACGAAGGTTGAGGAAAGGGAGAGAGAGGCCCACAACTCTGCCGTTTGGGGAGCATTCCACGCCGCGCCAAGCGGCGGAGCAGGCGTCGCCGCCGGTCCAGTTGGAAAGCAGGTTACCATGTGTGTCGGTTTGGATGCGGAATTGGGTGAGGGCGAGTGTATCATTTTGCCATGCACTCTCTGCAACACACAGGATGGTGAAGGCCAATGCCAAGGACAACACCAGTGATAGGTTTATGGAAGAAGGGTCTTTCATGTTATGGTGTGAGAAGGGGGGGAAGAATGCTTATGGTGGTGTTTTTAATTTTAAAAGAAAGGGTGGGATTTCAGATTTGGGATTGGCAAATGGAATGAGAAGGAAAATGTGACATGATTGGAGAGAGTGAGTGATTGAGGAAAAGTGTTGCAGTGTTATTACAAGTCCTGGAGAGGTAATTAAGACTGAGGGAATGCCATGATTAAAGGTCGTGGGATTTGGAAGGGGTGGTAGAGTTTATGATTGTTATTGTCCTCTTCCTCATAAGATATAGAAGGAATCAGTGACAATTTACAAGAGGTTCCTTTTTCTTTTGCTTGGCTTGTTATGCTAAAGAGAAAAAATTGTTGTTATTCTTGGCTGATTGAGAATCTCTTTCTTTGTTCCCTGATCTTCGCATGCAAAGTGTACTATGTCAGAGGGGATTTAAATAATAATAATGAAATAAAAAATAGAGCAAAAGAGTATTATGTGACATCTTAAATCATTTTTATATCCTCCAATAATCTATATTTATTAATGTGTTTTGCTTATATAAAATATGGTAGGATTTGAAAGGCTAGCTAATTTATTTGAAGCCTTATGTGTGTCATTGTATGAAAATTTGAAAGATATTGATATCCTCTGTCCAATGGTGCCTTCACTCCAAAAGCCCGTGAAGGCAACAAATTTATTTACTCATCCTTCTTATAAGGAGAGTAGTCATCATACTAGTTACTGTATAAACTCAATTTGATATACATGACAAGTAAATGTTCTAATTGGATATATACATAATTAGATATATACAGGTTTTTTTAATAAATGGGTGTAAATTTTTTTCAAATTTATCAAAATAGGTAAATTTTTATAAAGTTACGAATTTGGATAAGCGAAGAAGTCCTGTTACCAACGATTTTATAAGAGAAAAAAATATCGTACTTTCTAATCTGATTTAGTTTTTTTTATTTTTTAAACGAATAAATATAAATTTATATAAAAATTGTATTATCTAATACAAATTCTAATTTATATTATATTTAATAATAATATATTTTATATTTTTAATAATAAATTAAATAATAATAATAATTAAATTTATATTATTATTAAAATTATTGTTTATTTTATTAATTAAATTAATATAATTATTATGTGAATTATAATTATTAATGTAATAATTATTATATTAATATTATTAAAATAAAATGATATAAAAATGAATGACTATTAATAAAATTAATAATAATATTATTATTAATAAAAATAATATTAATAATAAGATAATTCTATTAATAAATATAAGTTTATTATTATTAGTATTATTATTATTTTAATAATAATAATAATAATAATAATAAAATAATATTAATAATGAATAATTATTAATAAAATATCTTTTAATTAAATAAATATAATAATAACAAATATATAAATAACTAATAGAATTATTATTATTAAAATATTTAATTTATTTTTACTATTATTTTTATTTTATATAATTATAATTATTAATTTATTTTTATTATTAGTAGTAAAATTGAAATCATATTAGTTATTATAATTATATTACTTTTAATAATTTTATTTTATTATTAATAATACAATATTAATTTAAATAATAAAATAAATAATACTTTTAATAATAATATAAATTAAATATTTATCACTATTATTTAATTTATAATTAATATAAAATATATTATTATTAATTATAATAATTATTATAATATAAAATTAAAATTCATATTAGATAATATAAATTTATACGAAAGTTGTGAAACCTAAATCATATTATAAAATAAGATTTCTTTATGTAAAATCGTATTTGATAGTACGTAGTTTTTAAAAATAATTACACTAATTTAATTTTATATATATATATATATATATATATATATGTATATATGGTCTCTTTAGAATAAAATTAAAAAAAAATTATATATATTTTATTTTTAACCTCTTTTAAAAAAACAAAATCGTAATACACGATACAATACCTCGAAAAATATGAGAATTGACGGATAGACGACAGGAACGTTTATCGAGAATAGAATCTTGTACATATTTTGCTATCAAGAATTGTGGTAAGAATCCATCATTTGACCGTAGATTGTAACTCTTGTTTTACTTTATTAAATCAAAAGATAGAAGCTACATGTCAACTACCAAAGCCTCACTGAACATAATTACTTTCTTTACAGGTCTAGCCACCTCTTGCACATGCATTCTCTGCTCAACCAAGTCCACTGTTCTTGACATGTTAAAATTACTGGGATTGCACAATTTTTTATCAAATTAACAATTCCACATGTGCTTGCAATTATGCAATTGAGAAGGTTTGAAAACCAACTCTGGTCCATAAAGGTCAATTTTTTGAGTTATTATGGAAGGGTAAAAGGGGTCCACTGTTGCTGACAATCATCTAGTCTAGAACAACTCATCCTATGTGTATATATTTGTGACTGATTCCTATGCTCCTTTTCCCTTGTATCGCTCATCAGTAGGTTAACAATACCACTACCCGTTCTCAAGAATTGATTTCCTCGGTAATTAGGCACCCAGAACTCCTTGAGGTCGGAACGCACCGTAACAGTTATTTTCTCTTAAGAAAGTACAGAAACTTTTAAAAAAGGAGGTTCCGCCACGAGAGGTTCACCTTATACTTTATGCAACATGAAAATCCTTTGATGTATGTTGTAATCTCTTTTTTCCTTCTCCGAAATATGCATGCGGTGATAGAAGTAATCTCTGTTAATTAATTCGTCTCTCAACTTATTTTCAGTGGATTGAGAATTTAATAATATGAAGTGATGCATCTTTAATGAATAAATTTTTGTGACTAGATCTTTTGTAATAATAATTGATTTTAAATGTAAGTTTTGAGTGATATGATCTCTTAAAAAAAAAAAACCATGACATCAAATATGGACTGATTACTTATCGGTTTAATCAAATTTTGATAATATACAATTCTTTGGTCTTGAGATAAAGATATCACGTAATTTCATCTAATCAAGTTGTCATCCATTGTGTTTTCATTTTCAACTCAATTTATAATTTATAAAGAGTTGACATCAGATTTATTTTTACGAGAGTCTTTGATATTCTAATAATCAAGACTGTTATGACAAATCTACATCTTAAATCTAATCATTAAAAACGAATTACACTATATTATCAAGTTACAACGGAGGGATGAATTAACGAATACAAAATGTTTTTAGAATAGAACAATTATATATTTAAAATAATAAGTTATAAAATAGTAATTAATAATATATAATATGCAGATAGTTAGATTATGGTTTCACCAAACGAAAGTGGTGCATTATTTGGTTTGGCCACTGCTCCTTTTTCCCATGTTGTGGAAGGAAAAAAAGGGGTCCTCTGCTTTAAGTCAAAAACAAGCAAAGTTCTTCTCACGTCACACCCTCAAGTCAGACATAGAATTCAATGATAAACATGCAAATGCCAGGGACATGACTGGAATTCAAGCTTTAGTTTCACGACAAAAATTGACCTAGCTAGTCAAAACACTCCAAATATAGTACAACACTTGTTCCAGACAATGTCACATTTGAAATTGTCGGTTCCCGGAACAGTAAACCCAACCAAACCATTTCTCTTTTAGTTTTCCACTTTCTATGTAAAGTTTTTTTTTTCTTTTTTTAAGCAATGTTTTAATATAAATAAATTTTAGAGATACTAAAAACTTATCCAATTCAAATAAAATATTATAAAAATTACTGATGAAAATTAAGAAAATATAATTTTATGATTAATGATATATAAGATTATGGGGTGAGGGGTAAATGGCACATGGGTGGGGGCAATGAATGGTACAGTGGTACTGGTTCCCATCTCCATGTTGGAACCTTCATCAGAGTATGGTAATGTTGTTGTCGCAAAAAGTGAAGGAATTGTTTCAGCTTTTTTCCCCTTTTATTGTTAATTACACTCTAAAGCTAAAGCCTTATAAAAGCAGAGGATATGAAGGCGAGATTGGCGCTCCAGATTTCAAAGGACCAGTAGTTCCTACTTTGCTTTAATGATAGCATGAAATTGAAGGTCAAATATACATTTATTTAACAACCAATTTTGTTAATATTTAAAATTAATTATCACAATATAATATTTTTCTTCGTTTCACCAGAAAACACTCTTAACTCAATTCCCAAAAAGTATTTTGCTATAAAATACTGTAAGACATGGCGATTCTATGCTCTTGATTTTCTAATCCATGATTCTTGCATTTAAACCTAAAAATAATTATAGAATGTTAGTATAGATGTATTGTATAAAGCAAGTCAATTTATAATATTTTTTTAAAATTTAAAATAACTGTTCGGCTATAATATTTATGAAAATACAAATAAATACGATTATTTACAACATTTCTATTATCTACATTAAGAATGTTCTTGTCACTTGCTGACTAAGCAAGAAGCAGAAAGCACAACAATAGCAGAAAGCAGCAGGTTCATGTTTTATTTATCATTGGAAAATGGGGCAAAGAACAGAATCTGAATTTGAAGAACTTTGCGCCTTGATAAAAGCCAAAGCTGAAATTGTGTCATCAAGGGTCTATTTTAGCATTTTGGCCACATTATTTGTAGTGTACAACATGCATATATATGTGACAAAATCAAGTGTTATACCAACTTTGGCTGATCTAAGAATAGTCGTGCTTCATATGCTGACAGAGAATACTATTACTGTGCAAATAGAGACCCCAAAAACTTTGTCAGAGTGCAAGAATAGTATTGATTTTGACTTTCATTTTTTAAATATATGAAACAGACGAGAGTTATTAAAATGTGTAGGTGTTTGGAAAGATAGAATAGAAATTTAACCTTGTTGATGGTGGAAAATGTAAGAAACTTTTTACTGTTTTTACATGGCGACAAGAGCATAGTATGTGTGACAGACAGCAACAGATAGAGACAGAGGGTTGTGGCAAATAATGTTACTGTCTTAGAGATTCTGGGAAGGTAAGTTGCGTGCCGTTTAGTGTAGGAGTTAGAACATTGAATTGATGTGTAACGGATTACTACAGTTTTCAGAACTTCGTTCTCTATTCAGACATATTTCAAATTTATACGTAAATAGGAGGAGTACTAATTAAAGAAAAGTACGGTGCATGGTTTTTAAAGAGTTGTTTTTCAATCTTTCCTTTCACTCTTTTCTCTACCTGAATCTCTTATTGTCCAATTTGATTAAACCTTTCTAAAGAATACATTATGCTTTCCTATTCTGGCTTTTTTATCTTTTAATTAATTGAAACGTAAAGTTAAATCTGGATGTCATTGTCAGTGTGTCTCAACCTTTTCTTTTCCATAAATTAATCTTGTTTGTCACTCTCTCATTCTTAATTATATCCTAATACGTAGGAGAGTAATTGAACCGTGAAAATAATAACTTGATTTACACAAGCGATTGTAGAAAACCATTAATGCTTTTTATGAGTTATATTCGCATTGAAAGGAAAGACTAACTTAGCAGAGGACCTTCAAATATGTGATAGATACTAGTTCTCTTATATTTGAAGAATAAAAGATTCCATAAAAAAAATATATTAAGAGTAAGTTATACTTGAAGTTCAAAAAATAGTAAAAAATTTAAACAAAAAATGGAGATATGTTATCTAAATTTATACAAATAAAATGTTTCTTAATTCTACAAAAAGATTGATCAATATTTATTATTTATTTTTAAATTTTAGTATTTTATCTTTAAAAAGTATTTTGATGGTTAAAAGAAGAAGGTTTATAATTTGTTTAAATAATATGAGACTTATAAATATAAATTGAAATAAATTTTAAAATAATTTTTAATATTTAAAATAAAATATTTATTTCCAATGAGTAAGATTGAGATAGATGATTTGAAAAAAAAAAAAAGGTAACAGTATTTCTAGAGATAGTTTTGGTAGAGTAGGTTTTGTGATATTCTTAAGCTTACATTCAGAAATTTTATAAAGTTAAAAGTGTCACTATTCTTCTTCTACCCGTACACTTGTTTCATTTTCTTTATGCCTAATTCAAGTTGATAAGGACAAAACCTGATTTTATTTTTCCTAAATGTGTTGTCAAAGATCACTAGGCTAGGGTAGCTATTATTAGCATATGCAATTTAAAGAAAGAATGCCAAATATGTCTTCAAGCTTTTGAAAGGTAATGTCATCTTCATTCTCCATTGATAGATATCAAAATATTTGTTTGACTCCATTCAGCAGATCAAGTTTGGAACAATTTATTCATGCCAATCCATCGTCTTGTTTCTCAAGTTAACGACCTGTAAAAGATTCCGCGTGACAGAATTTTCATACTTTAAAAATAAAAATTCCATAATCTAGAAAAGTTTGGTGAAAAATAAAATAAAATCAGGAGATGCATTCACATTCATATGCAAGTTTTGATTATAATATTTCTTTTTGGGCTTCTTCTTTATTTCTTACGAGGCTGAACTAAATCGTTTGTCCTATATGGGCTTAGTAGAGTAGGCCCTTTTTATTGGGCTTAGTTTCTAGCTTTATTGGGCTAGAGATTCACAATTTGACAAAAAAGCCATGTTTGTTCTGACTTATTATATAAAGTAAAATATATTTTTAATATAAGTTTTAAATATACCAATTAATAAAAATATTGAAGTAAATCCAACCAGAAAATTTGGAAATTGGAACAAAAAGTAAGGCAATGCCTAATCATGATAATAAGTTAAAGATAGTTTATATATATATATATATATATATATATATATATATATATATATATATATTTTTTTTTCTTTTTAATCGTATTAAAAATAAAGATAAAATTATAATTAATTGAAGTTTTAAAGTGAATAATACATTCTAAATGATAATTTATCCTTAGTTCAGATCATTATCTTTTGATATTTTAGGAAATAAATATTAATTTGGTAAAAAAATATTAAGACAAAACTATCGTTGTTAACTAAATTAAACATTTTCTAAATTATAACGACTTAGACAAATCTATTCCTTTAATCATGTGTCCTTTATTGAAAGTTTTGATTGAATCGGTGTAGCTCTATCGAGAGGTGGAATTAAGACTTTACTGTAATTAAATATACTTCTAAAACGCCAATCACTTTCATCTTGTGTCTTTTAGTTCCATTAAGTTTTCAAAGTTAGCGATATTTTATTGGGTGATAGAACTAATTTTTAAGTACTTTTAATTTACATTGATCTTATCACATGTCTCTTGCTTTTAGTAAGTTTTTAATTATTTTGTGATATTTTATTATATCAATGACCAGATTGGACATAGTTTAACAGTTTTTCAACAGTGAAAGCTTAATTAACTACATGAAACCATTAATGTAGAAATGGCAAAGGCAATTAATTTATTTCAGGAAAAGAAATATGCAATTGGCTAATCCATCATCAAATGTAACCTAACTTCCTATCATAAGGCTAAAGTCCAAACGCGACTCTAGAATTTCAAGCATGAATTGATTCTTTGAATGCAGAGACTTATGTGGTTATAAAATGGGTTCTTTTAACCAAGGTTAAAGAATGAACAAATAAATTATTTTTTTATTATAAATTGGGGGATTTCAATAAAGGTTTTATTATCATACTTTAGGATGAATAACAGGATCGTGCAGGCTCATGGAATATTAAACAACTTTTCTCCATACTTTATTTTTAGGATAATAGTAAATAAAATTGTAAAAACAGTATTTTTTTTTAAATTGCGGTATATTTATTTATATTTTAATATTAGTAAATATTACACATTTTGACGCTAAACGTCCACCTTCGCTCTCTTCATGAATTAAGAAACATGTAACTTTTTTAAAAGAAAAAAATGTTAAAAATAATTAGTTGTAGGTTATTTAAAAGAAAAAAGTTAAAATCAGATGCCTCTAGAATTTTAATATTTTTTTTCTTCCTGATTAATCTTCTTTTAGGATAGTTTGTGAGGGAAATTTAATGTTTTTATTACTTATTTTTATCTTGTAGAGCATTTGTATTTCCTCGGTAATTGGTATAAAAAAATTAGTTTTTTTTAATCGAGTCGGAGCAATGATAGAAAACAAAAAAATGAAGATTGACAAATTAGATGAAAGTGATTCCAGATTTGGGAAGATACAGATTAAAGATTATCTGTATTAGAAAAAGTTACACCAACCTTTGTCTGAGATAAACCAAAAATGATGTCTTAGGTAAGAGTTGCTAGATCGACAAACTTTGAACATCGTCGGATTAACTTTGGCGAAGAATGTTGTCTATAATACGGGAAGTCATTATCATCAAACAAACTATTATTGATTCGTCAGTTTGTTAATATGAACATGCGAGAGAAGGTGCTAGTGTTACATATGATGTGAATGAATTTAATTCTTTATTGTCAAGATTAGTGTCAGTATATATTAATTTTGATGATGAAGTACAAACAATGAATAGTGTTCCTTATGCATCTGTAGTTGATAGCTTAATGTATGCAATGACATGCACTTGATTAGACATGGCTTATACAATGAGAGTTGTTAGTAGATTTAGAAGCATTGAGAAACTGTCAAGTGATTGTTATGCTACTTAAAATATATTTCTAAAACTGCATTATGTTTTAGAAGAAATGATGTGATTTTGAAAGGGTATTCCGATACAGATGTCGGAGGTTATTTAGGCACAAGGAAGAGTACTACAATATTTGTCTTCACAGTAGGTGGAACAATCAGTGACGGATCTTCTTGGGAGCTGAGGGGGGCCGTGACCTCCCCTCTCCCCAAAGTTTTGTAACTCCTATGTAATTTATGATTTTGGCCCCCCAAACTTAATGAACATTTAATATATTACTTGTATATTTACAATTTTATCCTCTCAGCCCCTCCTCAGTTTTGTAACTCTCATATAATTTATGATTTTGTCTCCCTCTAATTTAATGATCATTTAATATATTTAAGTATATATCTACAATTTTATCCTTTTACCCTTTCATCTTCTTTCTTCCTTTTATATTTATTTATTATTTATTAATAATATATTATTTGGCTCCCCTAAAATCAATGGTCAAGATCCGCCACTGGGAACAATAATTAGTTGGATGTCTCAACTTTAGAAAAGCGTTGCACTTTCAACCACTGAAGCAGAGTACATGGCTATTTCAGAAGCCAATAAAAAATGATTTGATTAAAGAATTTTCTTGAGGAGCTAGCCAAGAAGCAGTATGACCATGTTTACTTTGTTTTTGAAGAAAATTCGTGGGTCAAAGAACTAATAAGTAATGGTACTTTGTTTTTGGAGAAAATCCTTGGGTCAGAGAATCCTAAAGATATGTTGATAAGGTGGTTACTACTGGGAAGTTGAAGTTTTGCATAATTTCAACTGACTTTCATGGTTAATTCTTAAGAAGACATTGCACTAACTTGGGTTGTTATAGTTTTGAGGTTTACTAAATTTATTTTTTAGTGTATTTGATGTGATAAATCTCCAAGTAGAAGATTGTTGAATATACGGAGTCTACAAGATTATTGGGTCTGATTCATTTACTTATTATTTTATTATAAATACTCATGTAATTGTAAATATATTTAAATGAAAGAAAACTATTATCTAATATAGTCGTGGATGCAGGACATTTTAATTAAATCATGTAAGTTCTTTGTATTCTTATTATTTACTTTTATCTTGTAATATATTTATATCTCCTAATATTGTTTTTGGTTACGTGACTCGAATATAAATAATCAGTCACATGATAAAGATAACACGCCAATTACTAGGTTGTAATATTATAATATGACATAATCTTCAACATCAAATTAAAGATATTGAAATCAAGTTAAATCAAATTTGTCGGTCACGTGATCGATATAATATATAGGTTGTTGAAATATAACACCTTATAATCTCAAATCTCAAGTCTTAGACTATAATATTAAGTTAAATTAGACTATTTAGTCATTGAAATATATAATACTATATCAATAAATAGAAAATTAAACAAATATATAACTAGCATCCAATTCTACTCATCCCACATGTATAACAAAAAGCTCATAATGTTAAACATTTTTGTTTCTAACTTTTTATAGATGACATTTTTATATTTTTTCACATATGAAATACCATATAGCAATGGCGAATACATTATAACATGTGTAATTAAGATAGGCGCAACAAACAATATCAAAATCTAGCATCAAAGAGACCAAACATCACAAAATAGTGAATCAAATAATTGTTGCTAAAAGTAGGGTTCTCTCAAAGAATTTTTTTTTTTGTCTACCTTTTCTCTTGTTCTAACCCTATTTTTATTTGATCCATGTGGGCTTCTCGGATCAATCGTTATCAAGTACCACTTTCGGGTTAAAAGGCGTGAACCTTGAATTAGTATCTAGGATGAGAAATGAAAATTATTTTGTTTAAAAACAAAAGTATTTCGATCTTATGTTCATTATGATATCATCGTTACGATCAATTTCCATAACGATATCGTCTAATATGACTTTGTGAGGGTTGACACAACTACTTTGTGGTTCAACATGACTATGTGAGATCCAATATGACCCGATGTGATCCGCCTTATCCTATGTGGTTCTCGACATAATTTTTAATATCTCACTATCACATCTATGATTCCTAAAGTTGAAAATAAATTATGATGACTGACTTAAGCTTCAATATCTATGACTCGAGACTGAGAATTATGTGATAATCAAGCCAAATAATTTTGACATAATATCATTGTAAATGATCTACTTAAGCCTCAACTTCTATAACTTAAGACTAAGAATTTAGGTAATATCCAAATAAAAGATTTTATCGTTTCATCAAATGACAAATATAATAATATAATTATTTAATCTATTTTGAGTCTCAATGTTTATGTCTTAAACTTAAAAAATTATATGGTGTAAAATTTATAATGGAATGTTCCGAAATATAATTATGAAATTTTTCTTATAATTATAACTTATTATTGCAAATTAGGCATAATAAAAATTAAATTATTTAATGAATATAATATCAAATTAATATCCTTTAACAAAAGATTATAAGATCAAAACATTATAACATCGTTAAAATTTAAAGTTAGGTTAGAATCACATTTTCACTTGAATAATAGTTAATGAAGGTTAAAGAAATTTTGGAGACTCAAAGAAACCCAAAAGTTATTTTCTGGTTAAATATTTTTTGGATATTTATCTGAGGCGGTGGTGACAGAATCTTTATTCAGTGATTATATAATGAGGTAGTGATGAGAGACGGCGTAGGACTTCCACCAACCCATTGAAGAAATTTGTTCCCAGAAATCATGGCGACTTCAGAATATTCTCCACTCTTTCTTCTCCTACTCCTGTCTCTGTCTCTGTTTCTCTTCCTCCTCCGCCGAAAAACCGCCGCCAGAAACCGCCGTCTTCCGCCGGGACCGCCGGGATGGCCCATCTTCGGAAACATGTTCCAGCTCGGAGACATGCCTCACCGTGCCCTCACCGACCTAAGGGCCAAGCACGGCCCCGTCGTGTGGCTCAAAATCGGCGCCATGAACACCATGGCTATTCTCTCTGCCGACGCCGCCACCGTGTTCTTCAAGCACCACGACCACGCCTTCTCAGACCGCACCATAACCGAAACCATGCGAGTCCACAACTACGACAAATCCTCCTTGGCTTTAGCTCCTTACGGCCCCTACTGGCGTCTCATGCGGCGCCTCGTCACCGTCGACATGCTAGTGGCGAAACGCATAAACGACACCGCTTCGGTGCGGCGAAAGTGCGTAAACGACATGATAACATGGGTAAGCAAAGAGTCTAGGAAGGTGGAAGAGGGTTGTGGAGTCCACGTGGGGCGGTTCGTGTTCCTCATGACGTTTAACCTGTTCGGGAACCTGATGCTGTCGCGGGACCTGTTCGACCCGGAATCGGAAGTCGGGTCGGAGTTTTTCTCGGCGATGATGGGTTTGCTGGAGTGGACGGGGCACGCTAACGTGACGGATCTTTTCCCGTGGCTGAGATGGCTGGACCCGCAAGGTTTGAGGAGGAAGATGGATAGAGATATGGGTAAAGCCCTGAAAATCGCGTCGAGGTTCGTGAAACAGCGTTTGGAAGAGCAGCAGTGTGATAAAAAGTCAAGGGACTTCTTGGATGTGTTGATTGAGTTTCAAAGCAGCAACAGCGAAGAAGCCCTCCAAATATCAGACAAAGACCTCAACATTTTCATATTGGTACAAACTATCTTTCTCATTATCAAATGAATGCAAACTATCTTTTTGTAAGTAGTAAATGGTGGTGATGAGATTATGATATAACGGACAGGAAATGTTCATGGCTGGGTCAGAAACAACGAGCAGCACCATTGAATGGGCCATGACGGAGCTTCTGTGCAACAGGGAGTGTCTGGAGAAGGTGAAAAGCGAGCTTGAATCGGTGGTTGGGCGCGGAAGAGAAGTTGAAGAGAGTGACATAGACAAGCTTCCATACCTGCAAGCCGTGGTTAAGGAAACCCTTCGCTTACACCCTCCCATTCCGCTGCTTGTCCCTCGGAAGGCGACGCAGGACACAGAGTTCATGGGATACCACATTCCGAAAGACACCCAGGTTTTCGTGAACGCGTGGGCCATCGGAAGAGACCCCGGCGCGTGGGAGCAACCGCTGGGCTTCAAGCCCGAACGGTTCACCGATTGCAAGAAGATTGATTACAAAGGACATCACTTGGAGTTCATTCCGTTCGGAGCTGGACGAAGAATGTGTGCGGGTGTGCCCTTGGCGCATAGAGTGCTTCACCTGGTGTTGGGGTCATTGCTTCACCGATTCCACTGGGAACTTGACTGCCACGTCACTCCCTCCACCATCGACATGAGGGACAAGCTCGGCATCACCATGCGAAAGCTTCAACCCTTGCTTGCTGTGCCTACATTAATCCCCTCTTCTCAATACCCATCTCTTTCTTAATCTTCCAAATTAGCAAACCCCGTCAAATCATATTATATATATACATTTTAATTCATATTTATTTCATAATATGTTATTAATTTTTTTTAGTAATGTATGTCAGATACAATGCCTTACTGGAAAGTGTAGGAGAATTTCAGTGTTCTACTGTTATACACTAAGGTTTTATATTTAGCCGCAAATTAGTTCGATGCATAGTCAAGATCGGTACATGAAAGCGAAATAGATCTAAATCCCTCATTTTTCGCATCATTCACTCTCCACGATACATGTATAACATTCTATATTATCCTAAAATCTAGGAAACATGATTACCCATTAACGAGAAATATATCTCAGAGCTTAAAGAAAAAATAACTAAAAAATTATTGACTAAACGCATGCGAGAGAAGAAATCAGATCTCGCCCCTCTCTTTTTTGACCTAGAACATTTGGCGTCCTAAGTGCCTGGGCCAATTTCTTTTTCGTCACCACGCTGAAGGTCTCGTGTTCCCGTCTCCGTGATTCAATCGTTACCTTCCTTATCAAACCCCGCCACCACGCTGCGCGGCAACGAGCGGTGCAAGTTGGTGGACCAGAATCTCCCGGACGACGTGTACACGACGGAGTGGGACTTAATCATGATCGACGTGCCTAGAACAAATCTGAAATCATTTTCCTGCCCATATAAAATGGAAGTCGTGCATGTTAGGAATTAGACATTTTCGGCTGTTTTTTTTTTTTTTTGGTTTATAAATTTTGATGCATAAATAAATTATACATTTAATGCTTGAGGTTTATCGTTGTATGACTTGACCATTCGAAATGCTAAACAACTTTTTTGTTTATCATTATTTTTATTATATATTATTATCCTTATGTTGTCACATATATATTTTCTTTTAAAGGATTGTCTACCAATTGTTCCGTATATCTGGCACAGCAAGAAGAGTGCTGACTTTTTATTTTTACAACTGAAACATCAAATGAAAAACAATAATAATAAAATCTTATATATTATTCTTATATTAGAAAAAAAAATTGTATATATTAAACTGGATGTCAAACAAACATTTCTCCACCAAGAATGTGAGGACGAGAAATATTTCTCTATTATTTTAATTATATCTTTCTATTTTAATTTTTTAATGGAATTTTCTCCCAATATTTTGGAAATAATAATTTTTTATAACTATCAGAAAAAATGGAACATAGCTTCACAAAGGAAACTAAAATTTTAAAACAGAGCTCCCCACATCAAAGGTGTTGAGAATCTTCATTGAGAGTGTGTGTGTATGTGGCGAGATACCATTTTCTGGAAGTATTATGGCAGTTGCCTTGAGATGTGGTTTAATTGAATTTAAAATTTACGACATAAACACCGAAATATTTAAATTATCTTACCCCAGAAAATGTTAAAACATGTTGGTTGACGAATAAAACTTAAATATAACATATATATGTGATAGAGAAAAGAGTAATTTTAATAATGAAAAACATCAATACCGCATCTTTATCTAAATTTTGTCATAATCTAATTTAGGCTTAAAAACGATGCTACATATTTTATTTTCCCAAGCCTAAGCTTATTGGGGAGAAAATTATTTTTTGTTATAAAAAATTATTAGAGTGCATTAATTAGTTTCCTATTCTCATATCTATTTTTAAAATAGCTTAGGATTTATTTTATTTAAAAAGTTAAATTTTTTTCCAAAAATTAAGTTAAACTATAAATTAAAATTATTATTTTTTAATTAATAATAAGAATATATTTAATCTAACTTGGTAAAGATTATATTCACTTATATATTACAATATTATTATATTATTGTAATTTTAGTAGATATGAGATTTCATCGTATTTCTTTTTTAAATTTTAACATTGTTAGAGTAACTTTGATACCCTGAAATATTTAATTTAATTTTATAAAAATGACTCAATAGACAGATAATTAACCTTTTATATATTATAATATTATTTTATCTCTAATTGATGTTGAATTTTACTACATCTGTTAGATATTTTAGATATTCTAAATATTATAGATATTATTAGTCATAATATATTTATTTATTATATTTAATTATATGATTCTTAATTATAAATATATTACCTTATATGTATTTTAGACACAAGAGAATTAACCTTATACCTATACTAGGTCACTTCAGTCTTGTCAAATTACAGTAATTTGTTCCCAATTTATCTAGTTTATTATGTGAGTCATGTCAATTAGGGAAATATAGTCGTAGTTCATTTTCTGATAGTGTCTCATAATGTGTTTCGTCCTATTTTGCATTAGTTCACTCTGACATTTGGGGACACAGTCGTATTAAATCTAATTTAGATTTTCAATATTTTGTTACCTTTAGTGATGATTATTCTAGAAATACTTGGTTGTTTTTAATGAAAAATCGTTCTGAGTTATTTTCTATATTTCAATAATTTTTTAATGAAATTAAAACTCAGTTTGAGATTTCTATTCGAATTTTGCAAAGTGATAATGATTGTGAATATATTTCTCATTCTTTTAAAAATTTTATGGCTTCTCATGACATTTTTCATCAAACATCATGTGTTTATACACCTTAACAAAATGGGGTAGTTGAGCGCAAGAACAAACATATTGTTGAAACAACTCACACTCTTTAAATTCATGGTGAGGTTCCTAAACATTTTTAGTGTGATGTTGTTTTTACTGCATGTTATCTTATCAATCGCATGTCATCTTTTGTTTTAAATAACAAAATTCTTCATTCTCTTTTATTTCCTCATGAACCTCGACATCCCTTACCTCTTAAAGTGTTTGGGTCTACATGTTTTGTTCATAAATCATACAAATATGTTTTTTTAGGATTTACTCTATCACAAAAAGGATTTTATTTCTAAAGATGTCACATTTAATGAGTCTTCCTTTTATTTTTCTTCTTCATGTGTGTCGCCATCTATTACTATCAATATTCTTATTGTGTGTGATTATCTTGTTAGTCCACCTTTAGATTCTCCTTCGCCACCACCACTTCAAGTTTATAATCAAAGACAATCATCACAATAACCACCAAATGACTCACGTCTAATGCTAACGCATTTGTCTAATGCTTTGAGTTACCATAAATTATATCCACCTTTTTATACCTGTCTTTCATTCATTTCTTCTGTGTTACTTCTCAAATCCGTTGGATTTCATTGTTTGCTTATTGATGTGGACATAAAAGCCCAAGCCCGTGACAAGAATGATCAAGGCCAAGTTCCTTGTTTGTTTATTGATGTGGACATAAAAGCCCAAGCACATGACAAGAATGATCAAGACCAAGGTGAACCTATGACAAGAGACAATATTCCTATTGTGTGTGATTCTCCTGTTAGTCCACCTTTAGATTCTCCTTCGACACTACCACTTCAAGTTTATAATCAAATACAACAATCACAATAACTACCAAATGACTCACGTCTAATGCTAATTCATTTGCATTTGTCTAATACTTTGAGTTACCATAAATTATCTCCATCTTTTTATACCTGCCTTTCGTCCATCTCTTCTGTGCTACTTCTCAAATCCGTTGAATTTCATTATTTGCTTATTGATGTGGACATAAAAGCCCAAACCCATGACAAGAATGATCAAGACCAAGATCCAATCCAAGACTTAGGTGAACCTATGACAAGAGGCAGACTTAGAAAAACACAAGGCATTGTGCTTGAAGTCGTGTTAGTTTTATTTGCTACAGTTGGGATTTGAACCCAAGACCCAAAGCTTATAATGTCTTCATTGAAGCATCAGGGCAACTTAACTTTGCTTGGGATATTAGGATTTTAATTTATCTTTATTTTCTGCAAATGAGACAAACTCATAAACTTAAGTTGTATTAAACATTTTAAAAATTCAGATTGAACGTACGTATTATTCAGAATCAATTTGTGAGTTGTTGCTCTACTAGGGTTCTTCCTTGCATATTTTGATCTTATCAAGAATTCTTCAATTCTTGTGGCGATCTTTCTTGGCTTATCAAATATTCTTATCTGTGGCGCCTACGTTGTCCTTTATTTTTTTCTATTTTCTATTTCCAATCAAATTACCTTCCAAAACCTAACCCTAAATCATTTCCCTTCTATTTCGAGTGTCGTCACTTATTCATAGCCATGACTATTATTCAACAACGGTCTCTTTACAAATTGGATGTCAAAAATGTTTTTCTTATTGGAGATTTACAGAAAGAAATTTATATAGAGCAACCTCTAGATTTTGTTGCTCAGGGGAGTCTTCTGAATTGATACGTCGTCTTCACAAATTTTTATATGGCCTAAAACAATCTCCTAAGGCCTGATTTGAAAAATTTAGCAGTGTTATTCAATAGTTTGGTATGATTCACAGTGAGGCAGATCATTTAGTATTTTATCGTCGCTCAAGTGTTGGGTATATCTATTTAATAATATATGTTGATGATATTATTCTTACAGGGAGTGATTGTCAAGATATCTCCCAAATGAACCAACACCTTTGTCACCACTTTCAGACAAAAGATTTTGGCAAACTTGGATATTTCTTGAAGATTGAGGTAGTACAATCCAATAATGACATCGTTATATATAAAAAAAAGCATGCATTGGATATTTTAGAAGAAATTATGTTGATGAACTCAAAATCTATTGAGACACCCATGGATCTCAATACCAAACTCCTACCTAATCAGGGGGAGCCTCTCTCAGATCTTGAGAACAGAAAATTAGTTGGAAAATTAAAAATTAAACTATCTTACTGCTACTCATCCTGACATTTCCTTTACAGTTAGTATGGTGAGTTAATTTCTTAATTTTCTATGTGAAGATCATTGGAGTGCAGTCATTTATATATTAAAGTACATTAAATGATCTCCTGGAAAGAGTTTGTTATATGATCATAATAATCGGGCTAAAGTTACCTGTTATTCAGATGCTGACTGAGCAAGATCTTATTCTGATAGAATATCTACTTCTGGATACTGTGTTTCTACTGGAGGTAACTTGATCTCTTGGAAGAGTAAGAAAAAAATTGTTGTAGTAAGATCTAGTGCAAAAACAAAATATAAAATTATGACCTCAGTCACTTGTAAACTTGTTTGGTTTAAACAATTACTTAAAGAATTGTAATGTGGAGATATCACTCAAATGACATTTATATATGACAATCAAGTTGTTATTCATATTAGTTTTAATCTTGTTTTTCATGAAATGTCCAAACACATTGAAGTTGATTGTCATTTTTTCGAGAAAATATCGTATCTTGAGACATTAAGACCGTGTTTGTTTAACTAAAGTAAACAATTAATAGACATTTTCACCAAGTCTTTACGGGACCTAGAATTTGTTATATTTGTAACAAGTTTGGTACATATGATTTATATGCATCAGTTTGAGGGGGAGTGTTAGATAAGAGTGTCAAATAAGCTTAGCCAAATGGATCAGCCCGAAAAATAGGTCAGACTAGGCCAAAAAATTTATGACCTAAATAGAATCCGACAAATTTTGGTCCAACCTATTTAGGCCAAGTTTAAATGGACTTAGGTCAGACTAGTCCGTAGGCTTATGGACTGACTCGTTTTATAAAATAATAATTATTTTACTAATAAAATTAAAATAATAATATTTTATTAGAAAATATAAGTATAATAAATTAATTTGATAATATATTTTGTTATATATGTATATGTATGTAATTTAGAAAGAATAATAAACTTTAAACATAATCTTCATTTGTTTTAGTTATCTTCTTGTCGTCACATTTGTTTTTAAGGATCAATAATTTAATATGACATATTCTTAAATGTAGTGTATTTCTAAAGTATTATGTGAGAGTTATATTTGATAATAAGGCTAGCTTATTGAAGTAATGAATTTAACTCTAAAATTTACCAAGATACACTTGCTAGATGCATTACTAAGCATGATTTTCAATTTAGCTATGTTGAGTAGGAGAGAGTTGGAGAGGTAAATAAAGTTTTGAATTTTGATCTTAAACCAATTGTTAGAAACACTTCAATTACACATGTTTATAATGTATATTTAAAAAACTAAAAGACGTGTTATCTAATATTTCTGGTAGAATATATTTGAATTCTGATGATGTATGGATAACTATAACTGCTTAAGGATGCTACATGACTGTAACAACTCATTTTTATGATTTTATAGATTTGATTCTATTTTGCCTGAATAGATTATGAGTTAATTTTAAATAAACAAATGAATGACATGTTTTTTTTTAATTAAAAAAATATTTTTAATTAGGCCTAAAATTGTCCATTAGCCCGTTGGCCTAACATAAGATCAGACTAGATAAAATATTTTGACCTGTTTTAAAAATAGTTCAGATCGGACTATTAGATTTTTTTTACTTGATCTGTAGAGTCAAACCGGATCTGGATCGCCCATTTTGACAAGCCTAATGTTAGATATTATAAATATTATTAGTTATTTATGATATTTACTTTATTATGTTTACTTATATAATTCTTAATTATAAATATATTATCTTATGTATATTTTAGACAAAAAAGTAATCTTATATATAATTTTTTCACTATATTCATAGGTTTTTCATGTTTATATTAATAAAATAATTTTGATACCATATTAAAAATAAAAAGATATGTAACTTAATTTTAATAAAGTGAGAAAAAAATGATAATATTATTATATATAATAGATGTGAAATGTTATACAAACCCTCTCGTAACTATTTAGAAAAGCTAACTTAATATTGGTTTATGATATAAAGGTTCAAACTCTTAGCAAAGACAACCCACATCGTGTTGAAAAGGAATCTCCTTAAAAACATTGGACCTGGCTCCTTATATTCCTTCGGATGTATATTTCAAGAAAGTGTGTATTGGATTTGTAATATTTTCTTGTATATTTTACTTAACTCGAAGTGACTATTGGCATAGGTATCTGTTCTATTGGGTTTGAAAATATATTTTAATTTTATATTTTATCAAAGATTTACTATTTTTTTTATTAACTCTAATAATATTTTAAAGTTTCCTATAAATTAAAGTTTTTTCAAATATTATAAATTCTTATGATATTAAATTTATTAAGATTTAAGTTTTTATAGATTCTTATGATATAAATCTATTAACATTCTTGCATGATTATTTAAAATTTTAAAAAAATTTATATGTTGTGCTATGATAATAATCACTATTTAAAAACAAAATCTCAACAGTTTTTTTTCGTGCATATCAATATTTAGTTTATTCTTTCCAACATATATTATAAATGAATTAATGTGATTGAAGAAATCATCTCAATATATTATAAATGGATCACTGGAATTGGAGATCTCGTATAAGAGAACTCATGAAGAATAAAGTTAAAAACCAAAATTTATACTACTAATATAAAATTTAGTTAAAATTTAAAATGAATTTATCCAAAATTCAGATATCATATATATTGAAAAATTAGAAAAAATAGGTTCCCAATATTTTCAAAATACATCTATCCATGGTGACAATAACTTTATATAAATAACCTAAATTTTCTATTATTACACGGATTTCACTGGATAAAATAAATTATTTTACCCTTAAATAAGTATGAATTTATTGAATAATATTAACACATTCAAACCGAGTTTTCCCTCAAATCCTATTTTTGAGCATGACAAATTTTTTATTTGCAATTAGGTGGGAGATAGATGTAAATAGAACCTTTTCATTAAACTTGATGGTAAAGTTATTTCAAATTGATTCTAAAAAGCTACAAACATTTCCTTCAAAAATGCAAATTTACAAAAATAAATGTAAGAAAATGCTAACAAATACTCTCAAAGAACTAATTAAGAAATTAAAACTGTTATTAACAAATATGAATTTGAATATGATTTTAGTGTGATTTTTAACAAATATATATAGTAGACCCTTATTTTAAAAAACTTGTTCTTAAAAAATGGTTTAGTTAGGAAATAAAAAATTTATTATATAAATATTACCTTAAAGTTGTTTTAAATTTTTTTATGCATGTGATAATAATAAGAAATATATTTAATTTTTACTAAGATTTATTTTATACATGAGATTTATATTAAAATAATATGATTTATTCATACAAATTGATTACAGTAACTATCTATCCGGTGATGATTAAAAAAAAATTTATATTTTTTTTTATCAGAACATGTAGGAAAGAGAGACAAATGCAAAACCAGTAATACTTAGACAATAATGTAACGGTTCTCAAATACCAACAAAAAGGTTTTGCTTCAAATAAAATATCACAGAATTTTTCCTTCGATCAAGAACAGAAACGTTTGCATTCAAATGTTTTCAAAAATTGCACTATTATGGACATTTGTTTAAGCATGAGGTGCAAAGATTTAATAACGAATGGTGGTTGGTTCAACAACAGTGAACAGTGGCTTGTTGACTGGTTCGACTGTAGTTGGTACATTACAATAATGTTTGCATAAATAAAGAAGAGAACGAAGGAAGAAATATCATATACGAAGAAGAAGGTGTGGTGGTTCGTTCGACCATGCCATGACTGAATCCACGAAAAAGGAAGACAAACTACAAGATTATGAAGAAAAAAAAAAAAGACAAACCACAAGCGTTTATGAATAAAATTTATTGTTATTTTTTAATAAATTATCTGTGTGAATACCTTATAAACTGAATTGATTCGATCAAATGTAACTTGCCTAAGGATGGAATCAACGTACTAAAAATAAGGGCACGATTGGCCAAAGCTTCACATTCGAAAATAATAGCTATACAGCGTATATAACATTAACCTTCAGACGTTGTTAAGGTCATAATCTATAAAAATTCATTGTACATTCCATTCTTTCTCAAACGAACACCATTAGAAGTTCTAGTGCTAGCACGATCCAGTGTATCTCTTGTGCCAGCTTTTGTATCAATTCTGCACACATAATTGAGACCCACAAGAAGATCAACTATTGCAGCCTCAGTTTTTGGTTGATTTGCAAAGTAAAGAGTTTGGACAAGTAAAACATTTGCGTTAAAAATTGAGTGCTCCTTCTCAAAATTTCTCTCAGAATGCCAGCTTATCATGTTATGGGCCAGTGGAGCCAACCATTCCAGTATCTGTGCAAGTACCAGACTCCATTCAGCAGCAAGGTTTGCATCATGATGACTGGAGGAAGATTTACTTTTTGCACGGCTCTTAAGCTTAGCCCTTAGAGCAGTTCTTACCGTAGTTGGAAGCATACTGTACAGATCATCTCTTGTGGCAAGATCTACCAGGTGAGGTGATGACACCATCCTCTCAATCAATACAATCATATTTGCATAATGTAGGGCTAGGGCCGCATCACCCAGAGATTTAGAAGCCGGCTTTAACTGGCTATTGATGGATAATTTAGAATATATTCTAGTTCTGTTGGAGAGAGATAACTGATCCACTGTTTTCATTTTATCAAAAGATTTCAAATGACAATCAGTCAACCTCATGGAGCCACCATTTGTCTGCATGCAGCTCTGTATGACGGGAGAACTGTTTGCAGCAGACATACAACCTTTGAAGGCCACAATATGTCCTAACTGCTTGCCTTCTGAATATGTGTTCTTTTTGCAGAAAACAGGCTCATGAAGACCTTGCTGCTGTTTCTTCTTTCTTTTGCCCTTGCCTACTAAAAAGCCTGAGTTTGATACTGGCCTCCCCCCGACAGGACCTGAATTGAATCTACAAAGATCATTCTCTGAAGGATAAACAGAAGAATGCATAACAGAAAAGGAATGACTTCGCAGAAGATTGTTAGAGTTCATATGTGGAGAATCATTCTGTGGTTGTACAGTTGGTGGGTGTTTATTTGCAAAGACAATTATGATCCTCTCTAGGATTGTAAACAGTGATCTCGCCAACAACCGGACAACATAATCATAACTTCTATTCCATGGAGACATGTCTCTTTGATTCCTCACTTCCTGGCGCTGCAACACGACCTTCTTCTGAAACTCAAGCAATTTCACCCGATGCAATTCCGGATTTGCCTGCATTCTCCTGAAAGTCTGTTCAACCTCTGCTAGCACCTCAATCTCTTGGCAAAACTGTGTCATAGCGGCAACAAATTTTTCCATCTTCTTCACTTTCCTCTCCATCTTTTTCCACCTATACTCCCACCCAGACCATTGAAAATAATTTTGAGCTGGGTTATGAACAAAATGTTCAAAACGATGATAAACTGGATCAACGCATTTCTTACCCAACCCAGCCACAGAGCGTGCAAGAGATTGAAAGTTATCAAGTATCTCATTCAACGCAAGTTCCATCAAGTAGTCATCACTGTCAGACACCAGGATTTTGACTCCAACTGAGTTCACTATCCCTTCCCTTAGACTCGATACCTCTCCATCACTCAAAGACTGCCATAAATTAACCACCTTCAACATCAACCCTGTCACTTCTAATGCCAAAATTCCCACCACTGCCTTGTTATCTGATGATGCACTCTTGCGAGAGACTGGCCACAAAGCACTGAACCATGACCCATTCACCGTTTCACCCCCCATTGAAACTCAATTTCCTAATCCAATGAACTCACCTAATCAACAATCCTACACACTAGTTCAGTATCCTGTATACCATCAAATCCACTAATTCAGATTAGAAAGCTAAAATTCATAGGTCATGAAGACACCAGATATACCAAAGTCCAAAGCACAGATTAAGACAGTAATAATTGCATAACTAAGAAAAACAAAAATAAAAAAAACGAACCCCCAATTGTCGTCTTGGTCATAATAAGCCAAAACCACGAGGTCAATGTAGACTCATTCACACTCACTTGAGGGAAGACATGAGGCTTCAAGGGCCCGAAACCCACCATTAAAAATTCAAAATTTTTTACTCTTTCGTTGTCACTAACAGCCACCTCCTATCAAGTCATGACAGAAAACATCACAGGGAGAGAAAAGAGAACAACAACATACCGTGCAGTGGCATTGAGTTGAAGGAGAAGAAATTGAAAAGTGGAGATGAATAGAGGCATCCAAAGATTCACAAAGGTGAACGGTAACGGAAAAGTGAGTGATTTGGGAACAGGATAAAGAGAAAGCGAAAGGGAAAGAGAAAGAAAATTTGGTCAAAGCAAGGTGTGTGGGGTTTGGGTAGAACATGGAAATTACGTTGACAGTTGAGGGAGTTGATTGGGTTTGGTATTTGCTCCTTCGTTTGAGTGTTTCTCACGCTGGATGCGGATATGCCACTGTTACTGTTTCGTTTTCTTTGGACCTTTAAGCTTACTTTCTCATCTCAACCTTGGGGTTTAGATTTAGTTTAGTACGAATGAGTTGATTTAAAAAATGTAGTAGGTTTCAACAAATTCATGTTGAAAAGGGTAAATTTATGTTTAAAACGTGTGCTGATGGGAAATGTATTTGTCGAACTGAATGATGTCTATAATAATTATGAATCATTCGTAGTTTCAAACAAAGGTATTTTTTACTTTCTCGTTCAAAACTAAATTTAAGGTAATTCAAAAGTTCATATATTATTTAATGATAAAATAATATATGCATTAAAATATTGTGTAATGAGTTTTTATGTTGTCATTTAATTCCAATTTATCTTGTGAATAACTTTTCTTCGATTCTTTAACTTCTCCGTCGTCTGACACTGTCAGCGACAGGTGGATTGGAGTATTTTATGGTCAATATGTCAAAAATATAAAAGGGCCTGTGCTTTGGAATTACTCTGATTGTGTTATTACTCTGAGACAATTAATTCAATTTTAGTTTATTCGAAATATGAAATAACAATTTTTTTTAAATAATACTAAGAAATAACAGCACCGTCGCCTTTGGACAATAAGATTTCCAACACGAACTGGCCAAAATTACAAGAAAGTGATTCTTCCAAAGTTATATATAGCTCCAGCTCTACTTAATAAGTTGATTGACGAAGGAAAATTCTATTAAGAAAATCAATTCAAATTTTCAAACATTATTTGTCTCTCGTTTTTAGGAGAGTAAAGGCCTCACATAATAAATTTTTAGATCACGTCCCATGATGATACTTTTTTCATTAAATTTTTTAGATCAGTTCCATAAATATTAATAAATTTGATGACGAGTACCGGTAAGTTTTATGAAACGAGATAATGATAATAATATATTATAATTGTTTTTTTTTCTATTAATTTTAATAAGATTTATATATGAATTCGTCACATCTCATATCTAAATATTGTTAAGGACTTATTGAAATTTATATATGAATTCATCACATCTCATATCTAAATATTGTTAAGGACAAAAGTATTAGAGACTTAAAATATATTTGTTTCAATTGATTATCTTTACTTATATAGAAAAACAAGAAATATGAACATTTATTTTTAGTGATTTGAGTAGAATTACGACAATAAATTTGAAAGAAAATATACAAAAAATATCTTCACTTTGTTGTCATTCTCATTTTTACGTGAACCTCTTTATCTTTATGTGAACCAATTATGCATGACATCCTACAATTGAGGAAAAACATTTTTATGTAAGAAATCAGTGTAGAAATTCTTATTTACCCACATGCATGCAATTATAGTGTAGAGTGACGATATAATCTATTCTGGGTAAGAATAGTTGCAGAAAACCAATTCTCAGTACCCACATAATTGATTTTTCTATAAATTGAGAATAGATTATTGTTTGCATTTAATAGATGTAAAATGGATGACTGATTGAGGAAAAACATTTTTATGTAAGGAATCATTGCAGAGATTCTTACTTATCTTATAGTTGTAGAGTGACAAGATAATCTATTCTGGGTGAGGATACTTATAGAAAACCAATTCTCAGTGCTCACGATTTTTTTACAAGTTGAGAATAAATTATTGTTTGGATTCAATAGATGTAAAATCTATTCTTGACGCTAGTTCTTTCCTTCAGGGTCATGTTCATGTCCGGTGAAAAAAAGAGTCTAAAAGATAAGTTCTTGTTTTGATAATAAGAAATATGATGCAAAATAAATATTAATTTTTTTTATGCAACAAACTTACTTCCTTAAAAAGACTAACTAGTAGATGAAAATCTTAATTAAAAAGATATCAATGGAATGTAATAGTGATTTTTGAGGTTGCATGCCTAATTGTACTGACATCGATAATGACGATGTTATTATTACCCATAATCGAATTAATTCAACAAAAATCAATTTTCGTGCACGTACAAAAAAAATTTTCATCTAAGTTTATGAAAGATCGATTTTGAACACTAATCGATTCTCTTTATAACTTTTTTATATTTATAATTTTTTTTTCATATTCATTTAAATAACAGAAAAATAATATTTTTTTTCAATAACAGAAAAAAAACTACATATAATTTATTATGAAATTAATTTGAAGATTTAATTCAATCATTTAAAATTAATTTATTTAACTCATAAGGCTTACTATTACTTCAATTTAAAATTTACTTTAAACAATTATATTTAATTTGAAATAATTTTATCAATTAAAAATATAATTTTATTTTATTTAAAGTAATCATCTAAAATTTTTTTGAGATATATTTTATTTTAATGTAATTTTATTCATTTAAAATTTTCTATTTTATATAATAATTCCTATTTTATTTTAACATAATTTACACAAAATAAAATTATTTTTTTAAGATAAAAATAAAATTCTAATCTTACAATTTTATCAATTAAAACATTTTTTAATCTATTAAACCAATCAATCATATTTTTACTTATCTTTTTTTCTGAATCTATTTATTTTCACTCTCTCAAATTTATTTTCAGATTCACACATAAACTTAAAGAAGATTAATGTAACATTAATTAAATAATTACAAAATGAATGTATCTCGTCTCTTAAAAATGAAATATAAAAGAAAAGATGAAAACTTAATTTCTATTAATTTTTATTTAGGAAGAACATCACAAATTTTTATTATATCAAAGAATAATGTGAATAGAAAAAAATACACCGATAATAGGGAAGGAGTAGTTTTGTAACAAGAAGAATTTTATGACATTTATAAAATAAACCAAATTTAACTAATTTTTAGAGGTACCCTAGATGTAAGTAATAAAAGCGTTGAATTACTTAAATTCATGAAATTAAATTTAATAATTTAAATTATCTTTTAAAAAAGGTGGATTAATAAAAAATTAATAATCAAGATGAAAATTAAATCTATAAATTAATCATATATATATATATATATATATATATATATATAAATTAAAGAGATTTTCATCAAAGTGTGGCAAGTATCTAGCTATAGATATTTAAAACGCAATGGAAGAAAAAAAATGCAGATATCACCTTATGCAGCTTTCGATATCACACGTGTTAACCAGAAGGTGCAACACGTGGCGGAGACTTCCAGCAGAACCGCGACCATAGCTCGAACATATCCTCAACTTCTAGTACATTCCAGTCAACAGAGATTATGAACACCCAAACTCTTATAAAACCACTTCACACTCACATGTTCATTGCATCATCATAGCGTGGAACAACATCATTGAAGAAACAGAAAGAGAGCAAAAGCAAAATCAAGGATGAAGCCGATTGACGATAAGCAAGAGAAGGTGACGATCAGAGCGGTGAGCCACGACGAGGAAGGAAAAAAGAGGGTGGAGAAGAAAGAGCTCAACACTCACAATATCGATACTGTCAAGTACGTCGAGAAGAAGCTCATCAAGAAGGGTGTCCAGCGCCAGGAGCGCCACCCTTCCGACGGCATCGGCATTGGACGGCCGCCTCCAAAGTCTGGCCACGGCGGTAAGTTCACCTGGGAAGGCCCTGCTGACATGGCAGAGAACGAGCTTATGGCGGCGCCGGCGGCCATTGACGAGGGAGACCCCAACTATGAGGACGGCGAAGAGAAGGGAGAGGAGGTGGCGGAGTTAGTTGTTGGGGAGGTTGAAGTGGCGAAGGTTGCTCAGGAGCACGACGGGGTTGCTAGGGTTGACGTTGATCCTCGACTGGCGGTGAATTAATTAACCACGATCGGACATTTAGTTGTTTCATGTTATCATCTTGGGTTTGCTGATGTATGTTACTTTGGATGTTTGCCCTTTACTTAATCTAAATTTGTATTGATAGATCAAACTAGTAAAATGTTATAAAGTTGTTTTTTCTTTGCCTCCTAAATAAATTGCTTGCTTTTTTTTTTCACACCTTCATTCTCATTAACATATGAAAGATATTAATTAACTTAATTAAGTTTTACTAATTTATAATACTTTTTGAGATTTTTCTTTTCGTAAAACAAAAATTTTATAAGACTTATTCCTTAAAAGATAAGGGGAGCCAAAAGAAACAATGATAAGACCTATATCATATTCCAAATATGCAAAAAAATCAGCACTCCCATTTGTTGGTGTTGGTGTGATTGATAGAAGCAGCCAAACCAGGCTTTTATCTGAAATAAGGGGTCTCAAATAATGGGACATTTCACTTGACTTATGTTAATTTAGAATTATATGAATAGCAATATTGAATTCCGTTTTATAAATATCAAGCTTGTTATAAATAAATTCTAAAGCTTAATTAAATTGTTTCTTAACTAAATATTTATTGTTTATTTTTTGTTCCTATTTTAGTTGTATCTCTACTCTTTATTATAAATATTATAAATAGATTATCGATAAGTTTTATATATATAAATCATATAATAGATTACTATTATATATAAATCATATAATAGATTACTATATTACCTATGTGTGATATATTACCGTGTGATAAAGCTTTATATATATAAATCATTTTTATTATAAATAGATTACCGATAAGTCTTATATATATGATTTAATATATATTATAAATAGGTATAATATATATTATAAATAGATTACCTGTAATAAGTTTTATATATATTATTGAATATAGAGCTTTATATATATAAATCATTTATATATATAAATCATTTTTATTATAAATAGATTACCGATAAGTCTTATATATATGATTTAATATATATTATAAATAGGTATAATATATATTATAAATAGATTACCTGTAATAAGTTTTTTTATATATATTGTTGAATATAGAGAAAATAGGGTTTGGAATTAATTTCTCTTAAATCACATATAGATGATGATTTATAGTAGAGAGATACAACTAAAAGAGTATCTAAAAGTTTATTTATATAGTAAAGAGATACAACTAAAAAGTAATCGAAAGTAATGAGTAATCGAAAGTAACATAATAAACAAAAGATATTATCCGAAAGTAACATAATAATAAACAGAAGATATTATTTGATATTGTGATTACCAATATCTTAACAATATCAAATAATATATAAATAACATAATAAACAAAAGATATTATCTGAAAGTAACATAATAATAAACAGAAGATATTATTTGATATTGTGGTTACCAATATCTTAACAATATCAAATAATATATAAATAATATCTAACATCTGCTCGAACTATCTAACAATATTTTAACAATATCAAATAATATATAAATAATATCTAACACTTCTCTTCAAGCTCGAACATACAAATTGTTTATGTCAAGTTTGTTACAAATATAATCAATTCTAGGACCTCGTAAAGATTAGTAAAAAGATTTAGTAAAAATATATGCTAATTGATCACTTGAGTTAACAAACTTAGTCTTGATATCTCTAGACATAATCTTTTCTCGAATAAAATGACAGTCAATTTTAATATGTTTGGTCCTCTCATGAAAGACAGGATTAGAACTAATATGAAGAGCAACCTGATTGTCACACACAAGTGTCATTTGAATGACATCTCCAAATTGTAATTCTCTAAGCAATTGCTTGAGCTAAACAAGTTCACAGGAAGCTGAGGCCATAACTCTATATTCTGTTTCTGCACTGGATCTTGCCACAACACTTTGTTGTTAGGTTAAACTGTAATTGAATATGATCTTCATTCTAATGATCAAACATATATATAATCTCATACTGTAAACATGTTATAAACTAAATGCGAAAGCGTACCTGAATTGACCATAATGACGATATCCTTTGTAGAGTACTTTTGATTTGATCTTATGGTCTTCCACCTGAAGAGCACTTGTATTTCCCTCTTGATTTTCTCTCTTGATGGGGATAGAAAGAAAAGAACGGGACTGTAACTACGTTCTGTCTACGTGCTCCCAAAAGGGGACCATGACCCCTTAAAATAACCAAAATTAGGTTAATTACTTAAGTTTTAGTATTTCCAATTTGGCCCCTCATCAAATTAGAAATTGTTCTATGGTCTCTACACAATTTTATTTTCATGACATATGTCTTTAGCCAAACCTTTTTAATTTAGTCAGATCATTTTATTATTTGGCTTAATAAATAATGACCCTAACACATTTAAATATGTATCATATATATACATGACCCAAATTTTGCCAACAATCTCCCACTGGTCACAAATATATATGTCCTTACAACCTTACAAATGTGTTAGACTTTATGAGCTCAAAATTGTCATTATATTCCTTTAGCATATTCCAAAAATCCTGTCTATTAATCATATCAGGATATAGAACCAAATCAGCTTTTCATTGCATCATCGCAACTAAAACCAACAATGATTACTCATCCTGACATAACCAAATGACATGGATTCATCATGAAATGTGTAGCATGAAAAATTACGTGAAAGTGATCTGTACACGTCTATTTTCAACTGATCCAAACTTTAACTTATCGAGATCGATATAATAACCTTAATGTACAAAGTGTAATGAATGAACAAAAAATCGCATATCTATAGATAACCAACTATGTCCAAAAATCAATGTATACATATATAAAATTAAACATAAAACATAAAATATATGAAAATGACTAACTCCCACTAAACCACAAATTCCTCAAACTGTAAAACACCCATGTGAGCAACATGCTCATGAAAGACCTTGGGCAAAAGTCCTTTAGTTAGAGGATCTGCTATCATGGAGTTTGTCCCTAGATGTTCTATGGAAATTTGTCCACTTTGTACTCTTTCCTTAACAACTAGGAACTTAATGTCGATGTGTTTTGACTTAGTCGAACTTCTGTTGTTGTTAGAATACAATACAGCTGACTTGTTGTCACAATATAACTTAAGTGGTCTTTCAATGCCTTTAACAATTTTCAGCCCTGTGACAAAATTTCTCAGCCATATTCAATGATTCGACGCTTCATAGCATGCTACAAATTCTGCTTGCCATAGTGGATGAAGCTGTAAGGGTTTGCTTGACAACTGCGCCAAGAAACCGCACCACCTGCTAACATGAAAATGTAACCTGAAGTGGATTTCAAACTATCTTGACATCCTGCAAAGTCCGAGTCAGAAAACTCAGCGATCTCCAACTAGTCTGACCTCCTATATGTGAGCATGTAATCTTTTGTTCTCTTTAAATATCTCATGACCCTTTTTGCTGCCTTCCAATGGTCCATTCCTGGATTGCTTAAATATCTGCGTAAAACCCCAACTATGTATGCTATGTCTGGACGCGTACATACTTGGGCATACATCAAACTCCCTACAGCTGATGCATAGGGAATCTTTTGCATTTCCTCAATTTCCAAATTTCCCTTTGGGCACTGATTAAGACTAAACTTGTCTCCCTTAGCAACTGGAGTATCCCTGGATTTACATTCATGCATGCCAAACCTTTTAACAATTAGTTCGATATAACTCCTTTGTGATAATCCCAAAATACCCCGACATCGATCTCGGTATATCTGAATTCCTAATACAAAAGATGCATCACCAAGATCTTTCATTTCAAAATTCTTTGATAAAAATTTCTTGGTTTCGTGCAATATGTCTATATCATTAGTTGCAAGTAGAATGTCATCAACATAAAAGATCAGGAAAATATACTTACTCCCCTTAAACTTGTGATATACACAATCATCAACAATATTCATCTCGAAGTCAAATGAGAGAATTACTTGATGAAATTTATAGTATCATTGACGAGATGTTTGTTTTAGTCCATGAATGGATTTTGTCAGTTTGCAAACCATACTCTTTGAATCTCCCTGCACAAAATTTTCTGGTTGCACCATATAAATCGTCTCATCAATGTTGCCATTAAGAAACACCGTCTTGACATCCATTTGATGAAACTCCAAATCATAATGTGCTACAAGAGCCATGATTGTCCTAAAAGAGTCTTTCGATGAAACTGGAGAGAAAGTCTCTTTAAAATCAATCCCTTCCTTTTGGGTATAGCCCTTAGCTACCAGACGAGCCTTATACCTTTCCACATTACCTTTAGAATCCCGTTTGGTCTTAAATATCCACTTGCAACCAATGGGTCTCATACCTTCTGGTAATGGGACAAGTTCCCAAACCTTGTTGTCTTGCATGGACTTATACTCCTCCTTCATTGCTTCAATCCACTTTTCAGAGTTAGAACTTTGCATGGCTTGACGGATGTTAACTGGGTCATCTTCCATCATACCATTGTTTTCTTCATGTTCCTGAAGAAATACTATGTAATCATCCGAAATAGCACTTCTTCTTTCTCTAGTGGATCTCCACAAAATTATTGGCTCATGATGCACAGGTTCTTGAGGATCTTGAGTTTGTTCTTCATGAACAACCAAATCATCTTGAGTAAGGGTTTCATTAACAATACCTTCTGAAGGTTCCGAACTTACTTTATCAAAAGTAACTGTTTGAATCGGTTCTGGAATTGTTACCGATTCTTCCTCCAAGATAAAGTTCCTGATTTTATTCTTCCCCCCAAACTCAATATCCTCAAAAAACGTAGCAGTTCCCGTCTCAAAAATTGTCTTTAATGTGGGATCATAAAATTTATATCCCCTGAATCTTTCAGTATAACCAATAAAATAACTACTTACTGTTCGGGAGTCCAATTTCTTTTCATTTGGCTTATAAGGCCTTGCCTCAACTGGACAACCCCACACATGAAAATGCTTCAAACTAGGTTGTCGCCCAGTCCAAAGCTCATAAGGTGTTTTGGTCGCTGCTTTAGTTGGTACTCTGTTCAGAATATAAGCTGCCGTCTTTAGTGCCTCTCCCCAGAGTGACTCTGGTAAGGTGGAATGACAAATCATACTCTTTAAGAGTTCGATTTCGTCTTTCAGCTACACCATTCATGCTAGGTGATCCCGACATGGTATACTGTGGGACAATTCTACACTCCTCTAGGTACTTGGCAAAAGGTCCTGGACGCTGTTCACCTGACCCGTCAAATCTGTCATAGTACTCACCACCACGATCAGATCTGACAGACTTAATTCTTTTATTTAGTTGATTTTCAACTTCAACTTTAAATGTTTTGAACACGTCTAGAGATTGTGACTTTTCATGTATAAGGAATAAGTATGCATATCGTGAGTAATCGTCTATGAATGATATAAAGTATTGTTGACCATTCCACGAAGGTGTAGGAAATGGCCCACAAATGTCCGTATGTATCAACTCTAAGACGTCTGTAGCTCTATATGCACCTAATCTCTTCGCTTTGGTCTGTTTGCCCTTAATGCATTCAACACAAACATCAAAGTTTGTGAAGTCAATGGACTCTAAGATTCCATTTAACACAAGTCGTTCAACCCTATTTTTAGAGATGTGACCTAAGCGCCTGTGCCATAATGCTCCTGAGTGAGTATCATCAATTTTACGTTTAGTACCCCGTGATTCTGTATTAAGGGTTTCATTATAGGTGGTCACATTATCAAGTAAATACAGATTATCATAAGGCAAAAGTGAACCAGTTCCAATAATATCTGAATTAAAAGACAAACTGAACTTATTGTTTCCAAATGAACACAAATAACCTATTTTGTCCAGATAAGAAACTGAAACCAAATTCCGTCTAAATGATGGCACAACAAAATTGTCTTTCAAATCCAAATAAAAATCAATACTCAATAACAATTTAAAATGCCCTATGGCTTCCACCTCTACCGATTTGCCATCTCCAACATATATCCATCTTTCAGAATCAATTGGTTTCCGGTAGCTTAAGCAACCCTTCATAGAAACACTGATGTTAGTAGTTGCACCTGAGTCTAACCACCAAGTGTTACTAGGTACTTGACGCTAAATTGACTTCGAAGCAGACCAAAGTAGGAAACATACTTTTAAGGATCGGAACATAATTTAAATTGGCGAATACTAGAAACAATTGTAGTTGAATTAAAAATAAGAGAAATAAATTAATTATGCTCACATTATAAAAAATAAATAATTATAAATAAAATATATATCCAAATAATGGTTTAACCCATCTCAAGACACCCAATGCACCATCAATATCAAGTCTTTGGACGAGTAATATTAACTGCTAGAGGTATCTTGTTGTAATAATCAAACATTGACAATAAAGCACGTCCAACAACAAACCAGTCTTTGGATTGATTTATCATCGACAAAGCAAATCTTTATAATTATCACATGTTTATCATTACAAGTGTATATGCAATTCGACCAAATATTAATCTTCCTTTGGGTCGACTAATACTCACATGAATATACACAAACACTAACATTTAATAATTTTCACGAACTACCCAATTCAAGAGATGTTACTTTGGTAACTTCTTGACTCAATTTGCTCACAAAAAATATTAAACTACCAAACAAATTAATATTTTATTTATATAATAAAATCAAATATATATACTCCTCTGGGTTAGCAAACAACTCCCGTAACAATTAAAGCTATAAAGGTGCCGAATACAGCAAATGTGACAATTGCTCCAAAATTCTAGAAACCTCTCATCAGAGAGTCTTTGAACCGTGAGGACCGTGACTATATCAATTGCACAAACTCCAGGTTATAAAGTTTGATCAATTTTGCATTGACCTTCAAATTTATTTATTTTTTTTCTCTCCGGTTGTTGGCTCGACATGAATACGCAATCACCGGACCCTCCAGTTCCGACGTTGTCCCCACGGTTCGCGCTTACGTCCAGTTCGCAGCGGAAAATCGCGATTGCGGTGGATCTGAGCGACGAGAGCGCTCACGCAGTGCGGTGGGCCGTGCAGAACTACCTCCGACCGGGGAACGCGGTCATCCTGCTGCACGTGCGTCCCACGAGCGTCCTGTACGGCGCGGACTGGGGGTCGATGGATCTGAGCGTGGCGGAGGAGGGCGGCACCGGTGGTGATGAGGAGTCGCGGCGGAAGCTGGAAGATGATTTCGACAACTTCACCAAGGCGAGCGACTTGGCCCAGCCGCTCGTGGAGGCGCAAATACCGTTCAAGATCCACATTGTGAAGGACCACGACATGAAGGAGGAGAAGCAGTTTCACCCTCAAATTCGAAATTAGGTTTTAAAATTGGGGATTTTACCCCAAATTTGAATTTAGGGTTTACAAAAATTGGAGATTATTCTCCACTTAGGGTTTTGAATTAGCCAGAATTTGAATTTTGTTAAATGTAATTTCCAAATACAAACATGAATTAAGTATGGGTTGCTCTGATACTAATTGTTAGGTTAAACTGTAATTGAATATGACCTTCATTCTAATGATCAAACATATATATAATCCCATACTGTAAACATGTTATAAACTAAATGCGAAAGCGTACCTGAATTGGCCATAATGACGATATCCTCTGTAGAGCACTTTTGATTTGATCTTATAGTCTTCCACCTGAAGAACACCTGTATTTCCCTCTTGATTTTCTCTCTTGATGGGGATAGAAAGAAAAGAATGGGATTGTAACTACGTTCTGTCTACGTGCTCCCAGAAGGGGACCATAACCCCTTAAAATAACCAAAATTAGGTTAATTACTTAAGTTTTAGTATTTCTAATTTGGCCCCTCATCAAATTAAAAATTGTTCTATGGTCTCTACACAATTTTATTTTCATGACATATGCCTTTAGCCAAACCTTTTTAATTTAGTCAGATCATTTTATTATTTGGCTTAATAAATAATGACCCTAACACATTTAAATATGTATCATATATATACATGACCCAAATTTTGCCAACATTTGTTTCTTACTTTTCCATGAGATCAAGTTACCACCAATGGAGACACAATATCCAGATGTAGATCTTCTATCCGAAGGAGATCCTGCCCAATTAGCATCTGAGTAGCAAACAACTCTTGTATGGTTATTAGAACCATATAACAATCCTTTTCCAGGAGATCCTTTAATATACTTCAAGATACGAATGACTGCATTCGAATGATCTTCACATGGTGAATTAAGAAATTGACTTACCGCACTGACTGCAAAGGAAATGTCAGGACGAGTAACTGTAAGATAATTCAATTTTCCAACCAATCTTCTATACTGCTCATGATCAGATATAGGCTCCCCCTGATTTGGTAGAAGTTTAGTATTGGGATTCATGGGTGTATCAACAAACTTTGAACTCATCAACCCAGTTTCCTCCAAAATATCTATGGCATACTTCCTCTGAGATATAACAATACCATCATTAGACTGTACCACCTCAATACCCAAAAAATATCTAAGTTTGCCAAGATCTTTGGTCTGAAAATGGTGACAGAGATGTTGTTTCAACTGAGAGATGTCATGGTTGTCACTACCTGTAAGAACGATGTCATCAACATATACTATCAAGTAAACACATCCAGCACTTGAGTGTCGATAAAAGACAGAATGATCTGATTCACATCGAGTCATACCAAATTGTTGAACAACCTTGCTAAACTTTCCAAACCAAGCCCTAGGAGACTGTTTTAGGCCATATAGGGATTTGCGAAGATGACATATCATCCCAAAAGACTCCCCCTGAGCAACAAACCCAGGAGGTTGCTCCATATATATTTCTTCTTGTAAATCACCATTGAGAAAAGCATTTTTAACATCCAGTTGATAAAGAGGCCATTGTTGAAGAGCAGTCATGGCGATAAATAAACAAACAGAAGCCATCTTTGCCACAGGAGAAAATGTATCTCCATAATCCAACCCAAAAATTTGAGTATAACCTTTGGCCACAAGACGAGCTTTGAGGCGATCAATAGTACCATCAGGTCCAACTTTGATAGCAAACACCCACCTGCAACCAACAACAGTTTTGCCAGACGGTAACGGGACAATTCCCAAGTTCCACTATTATGAAGAGCACTTAGTTCATCTAACATGGCCTGACGCCAACCAGGATGGGCTAAAGCTTCACGGACAGTTTTTGAAATGGTCACAGAAGAAATAGAGGAAAGACATGTATAAAAAAGTAATGACAGTCGATGATAACTCAAAGCAATATAATGGGGAGAGGGATTACGTGTAGAACGAATACCTTTTCGGAGGGTAATGGGAAGGTCAGACTCATGTGTCAGATCCGGAGGAGACAGAGTAGTTGACACTTAAGTAGAGTCACATGGTGGTGGTTGTGATTGGTTTCGAGAACTATAAATCTGAAGAAGCAGTGGAGAAGAAGCTGACTACGGAGCAGGAACTAATGGTGAAGAAGAAACAGTTAGAGGGTCACAAACAACATGAACATTAAATGTATTAGGAGTGTTGATAAGATTGGATGGAGACAGAGGTGAAGATTGACTTTTAAAATAAAGAGATAACTCATCAAAGGTGACATCTTTTGACACAAAATAATGGTTAAGAGAAGGAGAAAAATATTTGTATCATTTTTGTGATCTTGTAAACCCTAAGAAAACACATTTATGTGATCTAGGAGAAAGCTTGTCAAGACCAGAACTGAAATTATGAACAAAACATGTAGACCTGAAAACTTTCAGAGGTAAAGGATGAAGTGGTTCATGAGGGAATAAAATGGAATGAGGTATTTTATTATCTAAAACCGAAGAAGGCATGCGATTAATGAGATAACATGCAGTAAGAAGAGCATCACCCCAAAAATGTTGAGGAACATCTCCATGAATTAAAAGTGTGCGAGTTGTTTCAATAAGATGTCTATTTTTACGTTCAGCTACACCATTTTGTTGAGGTGTATAAGCACAAGAAGTTTGATGCAAAATACCGTGAGAAACCATGAATTGTTTAAAAGAATGAGAAAGATATTTACGGTCATTATCACTACGCAAAACTCTAATAGAAACACCGAACTGAGTTTGAATTTCATTAAAAAAAGTTTGAAAGATATGAAATAATTCAGAATGATTTTTCATCAAAAATAACCAAGTGCATCTGGAATAATCATCAATGAAAGTAACAAAGTATTGAAAACCTAAAGTAGACTTAACACGACTAGGTCCCCAAATGTCAGAGTGAACCACGACAAAAGGGGATGAAGCACCACGTGTGAAACTAAGAGGAAAGGAAGTACGACTATGCTTGCCTAATTGACATGACTCACATGCCAAACTAGATAAGTTGGACAAGGCAGGGACAAGTTTATGTAACTTGGCAAGACTTGGATGACCTAACTGAGCATGGAGAAGAGAGGGAGACTCCATAACTGTACTAACATGTGTAGAGGGACGGAGATAATAAAGACCATGAGACTCACATCCTGTGCCAATCACCTATTTCGAACTCCGATCCTGTAAACACACAGAATTATTGGTAAAAGTAACAACACAATCAAGAGAACGAGTTAGACGACTGATGGACAATAGGTTAAAAGGAGATCCAGGGACATAAAGAACATTATCAATGGTTAAAGAAGGAAAAAGTTTAACCGTTCCAACACCATGAGATGATACTCTAGAGCCACCAGCCAATGTAACAGAAGGTAAATGATTAGGAGAGGATAAAGAGGAGAACAAAGATTTGTTACCAGTAATATGATCAGTGGCTCCCGAATCAAAAACCCAAGGACCAGGAGAAAATGATTGGGTCAGACCAGCAAAATATGTATTTGTATGTGTGACAGATATAGTGGAACTAGAAGACTATTGATCCTTATACCATTCGAGAAATTTGTTGAACATAACAAGCATGTCGGATGCAATAGAAGAAGGAAGATCCCCTGCAGATAAAGTTAGGGAAAGATTGGTGTGAACAACTACAGCAGATTGAGGATGATGACCATGTAATGTATAACACTTGTTAATCTTGTAACCTAGCTTGCCACAATGTTCACACTTAGGACGCCCTTTTTTCTGTTTGCAAGGGCGAGCCCGATCATCACGATGGGATGTCAACACAAAAGAATTGTTAACAAAATTGGAAATAGTGGAAGAAGTCATGAAGAGCGGGAGAACAAACCCTAAAACAATCCAAAGTAATCCAATTAACCCATGAAGCACAAATCCAAAATGAGAATACTAAAAATAAGTTTGCCAAGACTAAATGGCGCAGGAGACAATAGGACGACCAACTCCGATAGTGGTGATCTCAATGGCACGGTGGTCACCTGACTGAGACAAGCAAAATCATATGTCACTGGTAAAAAAAAATGAAACTCCGGCGAATTCTCCGGCAGCGGCGGATCCGATGACTGCTCCAGCGGCAACGGTGACAACAACGTGAACTAGTACACCAGGCAAGTTCCCAGGAAAGAGAGGTGGGTCACTAATGGACACACTTAAATACCAAGTCTTTCCTTGCCAGAACTTTCCTAAACATGCACTTTCACACTACCAAATAAAATTCAGTAACAAAGATAATTCTTTTTTGATGTGGAGGATCAGTTTACCAGCAGCGGTGGGGTGGCTCTAGCAGCGGTGGGGCGGCTCCAACAGTGGATAAAAGGCGGAAAAAAAATTCAAGATAACCTTAAGCTCTGATACCATGTTGAATATAGAGAAAATAGGGTTTGAAATTAATTTCTCTTGTGTATAAATCACACATAGGGTGGTCTATTTATAGTAGAGAGATACAACTAAAAGAGTAACTGAAAGTAACAGAATAAATAGAAGATATTGTTTGATATTGTGGTTACCAATATCTAACAATATCAAATAATATATAAACAATATCTAACATATATAAATCATATAATATATTATTATATTACCTAATCCTTTATAATTTTCTTTATAATTTTTTTTAGAAATGTATTCTAGTTTTTTTCTTCCTTCACCATTAGCCTTTGATCCTCTTTTTTTTTTCGTATTTGATCCTTTTTTTATTTCGTCACATCCTCTCGTATTTGCACCTAAGTAGTTCTCATCACTCTTTTACTTGATAAAAATAACTATCAACAATGGAGGATAACTATCAACAATGGAGCACCTAAGTCGTTCTCATCACTCTTTTACTTGATAAAAATAACTATCAACAAAATAACTATCAACAATGGAGGATAACTATCAACAATGGAGGCACGATATGCTCGCCGCTCTTGAAATCAAGAACAAAGAAAAATTTGTTCATGGTATTCTTCTTTGCACATCCGTTGATGTTGTTCATCAAGAACTCAAGA